AAAAGCAACAAATGCTGGAGAGGCTGTGGAGAAATGGGAACCCTAATCCACTGCTGGTGGGAATGCAAACTGGTGTAGCCTCTATGGAAAACAGTATGGAGATTCCTCAAAAGATTAAAAATAGAAATACCTTATGATCCAGCTATCCCACTACTGGGTATCTACCCAACGAACCTGAAATCAACCATCCAAAGAGGCTTCTACACCCCTATGTTCATCACAGCATTATTCACTACAGCCAAGACATAGAAGCAACCCAAGTGTCCCTCGACTGATGATTGGATAAAGAAAATGTGGTATATATACACAATGGAATACTACTCAGCCATAAAAAAAGACAAAATCATCCCATTTGCAACAACGTGGATGGGCCTGGAGGGTATTATGTTAAGTGAAATAAGCCAGAAAGAGAAAGACAAATAGGGCATGATCTCACTCATATGTGGAAGATAAACCAACACACAGACAGAACTGTTCAGTGGTTACCAGGGGCTAAGGGGGTGGGGGGTGGGCACCAGGGGTGGAGGGATGCACTTATATGGTGACTGACAAACAATAATGTACAACAAAAATTTCACAATAAAAAAAAAATGGAAATGAGAAATAAATAATAACATTCAAGAAAAAAAAAAAAGAGGGCGGGCAGAGTGGAGCACACCCTCACATGGGGCTCTGGTGGGACACGGCCGGCCCAGGATCCAGGTCAGGCAGATGCAGCACGCCAGGCACCAGAGGCTCGAGGCGGCTCGGCTGAGCATCAGGGGCAACGCCAGGACAGCAGCTCTCAAATCTTGGTGAGTCCTGACATTCCTCCTTGGAGCCAGGGACGTGAGGGAAGCTTCTGATAGAGGCAGAAGTGGAGGTCACTCGACACCCGTCCCGCCTTCCTCTCTCACAGCACACCTTGCTCTGTAATTGGCCTGTGTCACTGACTGTCTGCTTCTCCCCCTGGAAGGCATGCACCATGGAGGCCGGCCCTGCCGGAGGGTGTCGCTTCCAATGCCCTGGATGGGCCACAGAGCCACCTGGACAGACTGGGTAAAGGGACGAAAGCTGGGGCTGGGGCTGCTGTCCCAGCTCACATCCTGGTTCTGCATAGGAGGAGCTGGTACCCTCGGGGAGTACTCACCCCTCTCGGGGCCATAACATCCTGGCTCCCGCTCAGAGTAGAGGTGTCTGGACACAGTGTGCGAACACTGGACGACAAGGCAGTACTGGTCTGTGCAAAGCCACTGCAGAGGCCATGGGGAGTGTGCGTTGTGTCGGCGGCTGGCTTTGCGGGGTTCCCCGCATGGCCAATCGAGTAACTGATACTGATAGCGTATCAGTTATGATACTGTTATGATTGCTGCCTCTGAGAGGTGTGGCAAGACCAGCAGAGTGGGGCTCACTGCTCTCTTCCTCCTTTCGCCTGCTCCGGCCCTGAGCTGGGAGCCTGCAGCCCTGGCTAGTGAGGAGGTCTTGTCATTTGCTCCACCCCCAGCCTCAGTGGGTGACAGGAAGGAGCTTTCCTGCCTGGACCCTGGGAGGGGAAAGCCCTCCAAGGGAGGAGTTGCGCTTCGTTACCTCGGGCACCCGGAATGGCTCTGGGGAGTGGGTGCCCAGGAGTCGGGTGGCCATGGCTGGCTGAAGGCGTCACGGCAGGCTGGTAGGCGTCACCCCGAGGTGGGGGCCTCTGGGTACTGGGACTCTCAGGCTCAGGGCGCACAGCATTGGCCACCACCTCTGCGGCCCTCTGGATGGTGGAGAGGAGGGCTTCACTCGCAAAGCCTGCACCAGAGGGAGAAGGGAGATGGCACCAGCCCCCCTCAGTCCTGTCCCCCCATGTTCTCCCATGGCTGCTCCCTGCCTGGGGCTCAGGTCGGGATATGAGCTGCAGTTACAGAGCAGAAGCCGTGTGGCAGACCCCAGGACCTTCCAGAAGCTTCCCCAGTGAATTCCACTTCAGTATATTCCCAGGCCTGATGGAGGCCTTACAGCAGAGCTGTGCCCGGGGTCCCGACCTTGGAGCAAAGGGCATCCTAAGGAGCTTGTCCTGAGAAGTCAATCTCCACAGCCGCTCAAGGACTGCTCACATCCAGCACCAGGGGGCGCCCTTTCCTACATGAGCACCCCATGAAGGGTGAACCGGCAGTCACCCCCAAATGGAGAGCAGACGAGGCCTCTGAGGCAGACCCACGTTAGGAACCAGTGCTTCAGAAATGCCGGGGGCGGCCCGAGAGCAGTGACAAGGATGGTCAGCCCTACAGGTGGACAAGGCCCAGAGCCCACGCGAGGTCACGCAGCCCTGCTGCGGCCTCGCGCGCTCCAGCAAACGGGGCCTGTTGTTTCCACTTGTCACGACCAGCACCATTTCTGCTCTAAGTCACCTCGGTCACAGGACCGAGGACCTGCGCTCTGCTCTCAGCCCCTCGAAGGAGGGCCTGGGGGCCCGAGCGTGGGGCTGACCTCAGCCTGGTTGAGCAGACCTGGCTGCACCCGCCCTGCTCTCCCGCAGGACTGGGCAGAGAAGATGGCGGCGGAACAAAACCGCAAAGGTGCGAGGAGAGTCAACATGCAGGCACACAGGCCCCGGCCTGACTGCCCTCCACGCCCCTCAGCTGACCAGAGCAGCCAGCCCTCGTCCCTGCAACCCTGAGGGCCCACGCAGCACTCACCTGTGTGGCCCCGTTCCTTGCTGTAGCCAAAGCCCTGGAGGGCACTCTGGGGCCTGGACTGGGAGCCCATGCCTGCAGGGAGGACCCACATCAGCAGCAAGCGAGGCTGCCCACCCTCACCCCCTGGCAGAGCAGCGCACTCGCCCAGGACACCCAGGGAGGGAGAAGAGGCCGCAAGCCCTCCCCGGCGCAGACACCCCATGACGGGGCTGGACACGGTCGCCTACCTGTTGGAGGCAAGGCCCTGGGAGGCTGGGAGGGCGGCAGAGGTGACACGGTGTCAGAGAACAAGGCAGTCCCCAAGTCCTAGATGAGGAGGCGGAGGGCGCTCAGTGTTGCGGCACATCCGGCCACCGTCCTCCCCACCCCCCAGAGCTCTGCTCCAGCTCCCCACCAACGCTTGTCCTCTAAGGGCCAGACACAGGGGCTCTGGTCCCACGGCAGGGGTGGAGCTAGGGTTCCGGGCTGTATGAGACCAGCAAATGCCAGTCGCTGTCCCGGGAGTGACCCAGGTCCTGGGCTCACCTGGGCGGCTGCCCGCACCTTCTGGTACAAGCTGTTCCCATGGAGAGGATCCGGGGGCCCTGCGAAAACTGCAGGACAGAGAGGCAGAGAGGGGAGCTGAGCTGGAGCTGCCGACCACCTGAGGGGAGCAGCATTCAAGCCCACTCCCTGAGGGGTGCTGGGCTTCAGCCCACTCGGGCCCCTCCCCTTGTGGCTGGGCCCCCCTGGGGCCCCAGCACTGTGCTCTGCTCCCCAACATCCCCAGGGTCAGGTGACCTTTCTGAAGCACAGGTCTGACCTCAAACGCCCTGGGTGACATCACTTCCAGGTCAAAGTTGCCACCGTGGTCCATGAGCCACCCCCTTCCGCGCCCCCAAGCCCGGGGAAGCTGCCGCTCCCGAGAGCACCTCTGCTCCTTGGACAAAGCCCCCAAGGCCCCCAGATCCCCTCCTCCAGGACCCACTGCCACCCCCACAGCCCTGAGGCTCCCCCTCGCCCCACCCCCGCCTATGCCCCCAGCAAGAGAGGCCTGCGAGTCAACCTCCAGAGCATCTCCACTGCAGTGCTCCTCCCCCAACGCCACTGCAGTCCCTTGGCAGCCCCTCCATCGGCCACCTCACAGCCTCCCTCAACCCATTCTCCACCCAGAGGCAACACCAACTGGGTCTTGTCCAATTCAAACCTGTCAGAGGTCCCGGGGCCTTGTCGATAAAACTCAAGATCCTCACCACAGCCTGAAAGGTCTCCTTGCCGCCCTACCCCAACCTTGGCCATGCCAAGCTCCCTGCTCAGAAAGCCTCAGTTGTGGCAAATCAGGTTTTCTTACATGGCATTAAGTCACCCCCTAGGCTCTCCCTGCCTCAGGCTTTTGTATGTGCTGGAGAGCACCCCCACCCCCCATCCACTGCATGTGCCTCACTCTGCCTCATCTTTCCAGGGCTCGGTCTGAGAGTGAGAGCAGGTGCCTCTGTTTCCTCCGTGACAAACGTATCTCACTTTTCGCCCCTTCAGTGCCGTCTCCACCCTGGCAGCCAGCCCCATGGTGCAAATACAGGCCCCCACACCCAGCCAGGGTTGGCAGCCAGAAGCCCAACGAGAGTGGACGAATGACTGGTGTGCGCCTCCCTGCTGTTCCTGCCACAGCTCTCACCCTCCTCACGGGGCCTGAGACTTGAGCTGCAGGGAACCCACCTGCCGGGCCCCAGACACACAGCCTCCTCCTCTATGTGAGCCTGGGCCATCCTCTCTGCGTATGCCCCACTGCCCCCAGCACCACCTTCTCTCATAGCCCCCATCCCCTTGACCGTTCCAACAGCCCCCTGCAAACCTGTCTGGGTACCTGTCACCCTGGAGGGATGAACCCAGAGCATGAGGGGCCACAATTGATAACCGGTAACTGCCTTTGTGGCAGGAAAGATTTTGGTGCCGACAAAGAACCATGGTCTGCTGCACCCGGGCCGCTTCGCCCACCCTTCTTGGTGAGGAGGAGACAACGACCTGGTGCACCATGACGACCACCAGCCCGTGACAATAACCAGGCCGTGCTGTTTCAGTCCACAAGCTTTGGGGTGCTCACCTGTGAAGACGCTCGTGATCTCGAATCACCCTGATGCCTCTGAGCGTCTAACAAGTGAGTTTTGTGCCTCCAAGGTGTGGGGTGTGGCAGCCCCGCCTTCAGTAAGGGATAACGCTAGTTTTGGGGTGCAGGGGGATGAGCCCCAGTACCTGGCAGATGTTACACGCTCCCTAACTGCTGAGGGTCTTCTATAAGCAAGTGGTGGCTGAGAGTGACTCAGTCCCCTCCTTGGAGCTACTCTCCCAGGGATGGCTCGGGTGGAGTGAGTTCTTGCCTGTTCAGGGTCCGTGGTGGGATCTGGGATGGTGTGCCCGAGACTGACCCCAGCAGGACTCCTGCCCCACCCAAGGGACCTCAGGCCACGTCCCCACAAGTCATTGTTAGCAAGAGAGATGCATGATGGCCCCTGGCTGCAGGGGGGTGGAGGAGGCAGATGGGGCGCCACCCTAGACCCACCTGTCACCTGGACCACAACAGGCAGAGCCTCACCTCTCCTGACGGCCTCACCAGCCCCATCCTCCCACACCTCTGAGAGCGGGAGGTTTACTACCGCTCCCTCTGTCTCGGTCCCAGAGGGGCAGCCCTGGAGAACAGAGAGCCTGTGGCAGGGGAGGGCGGTGCAGGTGCTCGCTGAGCACCCACCGCGTGCCAGGCCCTGGGACAGATGGGAAAGGTCCAGGCCTGCAAAGACCTGACAGGACACACAGACAGAAACAAGTAATCGCACCCCGGAGAGGCGCGCACAGCGACGCTGCCAGTGGAAGACACGGGAGGGGCAGGGACTAAGAAGGCAGGGGAGGAGCAGGCCAGGAGGAGGGGAGGGTCCTGCAGCGGGGGAGGGAAGGGTGGTGCTGGGTGGGAGAACGGTGTGCCAGGGCACAGTGCAAGGGGCACCGTGTGTGTCGGGGCGGGGGGGCATGCCAGGCTAAGGAGCTCTGGCTGAAATCCGCCCTGACAACCCTGCTCCCCGTGGGCCTCTCGGAGCTGTATTGGCCCACTACCTGCGGCTTCCTGGATGAAGGTGGGGTTCCGCTTGAGGATGAGCAAGAAGGATGGGGAGCCATGACCACACAGGTGGAGCATGATCTTCAGCACCTGGGGGGACAGTCACGTGGGACAGGCTGAGCCCAGAGGGCACTCCACCTGGCACAGTGCCACCCACTGACCTCGGCTGTGTCCCTCCCCTCCCACCTCACCACCCACGGGCAGGAGCTCGGGCCCTGACCTGGGGAGTGTCTGCAGGGGCTGCTCCTGGACTCACCTTGAGCTTCACACGGCCAGAGCCGCTGTGCAGACGGTTCAGAAGATACTCAAGGAGGCACTGGCTGCTGCCCAGGGACTCGTGGGAGATTTCTGGGAGGTGCTTGGGTTAGGGAAGGAGCGAGCTGACCTCAGGCCACACTAGGCCTCGGTGGTCAGGGAGGGAAACTGGGCCTTGCTGCCACTGGACTTCTCGGTGCGTCCTTCCTGCAGGCACCACCCTGGGCCCTGGTTTCAGGAGCGTCGGGTTCTAGGGTCTCCTGGGCCCTGTGTCATTGGTAATGTGGCTTTTAGACCTTGCCCGCACCTGGTTACTATGATAAAGAAGCTGTGGACCCCCTCAGGATAAGAGAACCCCAAGAACCCTGCATGCTGTTCCAGGGCCCCCACATGTGGACGAGGAAGGATACTGGCAATCTCCTCAAACAAGTAGCCTGGACACGGGACGTCATCATCCGATGTTCCCTTCAGGAGAGTCGGGAGCTGAAAGTGAGTGAGAGCCCCTGCCCATGATGAGTGACCATTGTACACAGAGGTGAGCCCATGGGCGCCAAAGGGCCAGCCATTCCTGAGTGGCTGTGGGAGTCCTAGCTCTTGGGGCTCCTGGGAACACTGGTGCGCACACGTCTCGCTGTTGGCACACCATCTGGTAAAGGGCTGAAGAGGACGGCAGTGGTCCCACCAGCCACAGGGAGCCTGCAGGAGCCTCCCTTCTGGACGACTGGGGATGGATGCCAGGGAAGAGGCAATCAGTGGTGGTCTCCACGGTGATGGACTGCTATGCTTGGCTCAGGATGTGGCATAGCTCCCAGGCCTCTCCACTTATAGAGGTGCAAGAGGACTTAAAGGCACCCTTAATGTATCTACTTATGGACCGGCAAAAACAAGAAAGCACAGGGTGAGCCCCTTCCCCACGCAGGGGTCTGGGAATGTTCTGTCTTTCCAGAGCACCCATTGGCAGTGTGACATAACCACTGAGGCTGACCAACCCCCAGCTCCACTTCTGGAGAAGGACCCCAAGGAAACAACCCACAGGGAGAACAACTGACTTGTGTTGCGTCTTATGTTTACTTGTTAGCACAAACGTATTGATGCTATGTGCTCACTCAACACAAAGACATAGGGTCTCCAGGGATGAACAGCAGAAACGCCCATTCATTGCCACATCATTCAGCACGTGGGGGCGTGAGCCTTGGTGTAGACAGGATAGAAGACCTTGGGGTACTCAGAACAATTCCGTCAGGGGCTGGCCACAGACTAGAGTTTGAACGACAGCTATCTGGTGTCACACATGTGCCTGAGTGTCCCGTGAGCCTGTGCACACACTACTTACACTACTCGTCCACCAAGACCCAAAGGGGAGCTGGAGAGGACGGCAGAACTCTCAGCATGTGAGGAACCTCTGCACTGAGAGAACTGACCAGGGGCTTCTAACAGCATGAGGATGACCTCAGCCCCCTGAAATGACGGAGGAAGCTCAAGGTGCCAGGAGACTTTATGGTTCACCCTGGTCAACACCTGGAGACAGGCCCCAAACTTCCGACCTTTCTTTCTTGGAGCATTTACAGCCAGGCACCGCATAACGATGTTTCGGTCTATGAGAGACCACACGTATGATGGTGGTCCCATAAGATCGGCACCACATGGCATAGCTGTGTAGTAGGCTATGTCATCTAGGTTTGTGTAAGTACACCCTGCGTTCATGTCACCTAATGACACGGTTCTCAGAACATATCCCCATCAAGTGACATGTCACTGTATTGTGAAAGTGGGTTTCCTACAACTCAGGAGTGTCTCTCTCAAGGACCTGAGGGCCATTCTTCAAACTGTAACCATCAGGAAGGACAGGGCTTGTCTCCCAGTCCCTATGGGGCGACAGGATCCTAACTTCCATAACTGCCAGCCAGCACACACAGCTGGCTGAATCCCATGGACACTGCCCAACCCCTCAACATTTTTCACTTGAGCCCCACTCTCCCCTGATTCTCCCTTTAAAACGCCCAGTCTTCTGCGCACTAATCGGAATGGAGTTCAGAGCTTGCCCTGCTGTCAGAGTCACTGAGTAAAACGTTCACCCCGATTCCCAAACTAGTGTCTGGCTGCGTTGGTCTTGGACACAGTTCAGGGCTCACTATGTTCCTTTTTCTGTGAAGCTGCTTTAAGTTGAGAAAGAAAACAAATTCGGGTCCCACTGCTATCTTTCCCAATTTGGGTTCTGTTCAAGAAGCCTGAGTGTCCCCAGCGGACCTGACGCAGGATTGGCGCGTTCTGGCCGTGCCACGTACACAGAGTGGGGTCCCCCAACTTTGGGAGGGGCTGAAGGGGGGAGGAGGGGTGGGGGTGGGTCGGAGGGGGCAGAGGACGTTGGAGGGGTCAGAGGAGGCCTGGAGAGGATGGAGGAGGTTAGAGGGGGTTGGAGAGGTCGGGAACAGTGGGGTCGGAGGGGCCGGAGGAGGATGGTGGGGACGCCGAGCCCGAGGAGCCGTAGGCGCCGGAGCGCGGTGACCCGGCGGGGGCCGAGAGAGTCCAGGGAGGTGGGCGGCTCTGGCCCAGGGCGAGCCGGGGGAGGCGGCACGCAGCAGAGCCTGGGCCGCCCGCACTCACCCGGTGCAGGAAATTCAGGCGGTCCCGCAGCGGCGGCGTGCCCGCCATGATGCCGGTCACCTTCCGGCCCCGCCCCGCTTCCGCCAGGCCCCGGGCCCTCCCCAATCACCGCGCGAGTCTGGCTCCGATGGCCAATCGCTCGCATGGGGCGGGCCCTGAGGAGAGGCACAGGCGAGGCTGAAGTCTGGCCAATTAGAAAGCGCAGGAAGGTTATGGACGGAAGCGCCGACCTATCCAGCTGTTGGGTTCCGGAAGAGGACGGGCCTAAGATGGCGGCGTCCACGGGTGTCGGGAGGACCGCTCATGTCGGGGAACGGAGCGGTATGGGGGCGCGTGCGAAGCCGCCTCCGCGCCTTCCCTGAGCGCCTGTCGGCCTGCGGGGCCGAGGTGAGGAGCGTCGGGCGGGGCAGCGCCTGCGAGGCAGGAAGGGCCGCACGGGAGGGCGGCGGGGCGCTCGCTGGTGACCGGGGGGCGTGGGCGGGGTCTGGTCCCGGTGACTGCCGCCGCGACCCTCGCCCATCCCCGTCCTCTCCCCATCCCCAGGCCGCGGCCTACGGCCGGTGCGTGCAGGCGTCCACGGCCCAGGGCGGCCACCTGAGGAAGGATCTCTGCGCGCGGGAGTTCAAGGCCCTGCGGAGCTGCTTCCTCGCCGCGGTAGGTGGGCGCCGCCCGCCTGGTGTGGGGACCCGGAGCAGGGCCCCCACGAGCCCGCCTCTCTTCTCGTGCGGCCGGTGACCGGCGCCTGCCGGTGCTTCCGACGCGCGCGCCGACCCCCCCGCCCGCGCGATCCCCGCCGCCACGGAGCTGTATGCCGGTGTCTGTCACGTGGGGGCGCCAGCCTCGTCGTGGGGGTGACGGTGGTGATGGTGTGTGTGCGAAAGCGCTTTCTCACTGTACGTGGTACTGTCGCTGGGGGGTGATGCCCAAACGAACCCCAACCCGGGACTTGGGTAGCTGGCATCCTCGCACCCGCCGTGTTTCAGCTTCGCTGGTGTTGAGGACCTCAGGCGTGCTGTGTGTAGGCGGTTACAACGGACGGGCCACCGCGCACACACTGAGGGGCAGTCACGCACCCTCGACTTTCCCCGCACAACACCCCCATTCTGTGGAAGGAGAATCTGTAGGTCATGTATCCGAGGTTCGGTCTAAGCACCGAGGCTACGGCAGGCTAAGTTCTCCAGTCCACGGCACTGGCCGGCTCTCACTGGGGAGGTGGGCTGTGGTGGGAACAGTCTGTTTGCTCTCTGGATGGTTCTCTGGACTCAGTTCTGCCTCTAATCAGTGAACAGCAAGTCCCTTCTGTTTCTGAGCTTTGGCATTTTGTGACCCTTGTCTGATCAGACGCTGTGCCAGTGAAAATCGCCAAGCGCTGTACCCAAGTAAACAATTATAGTGTTCTGGTTGCACGATTTCATAAAGGACTCGGAGAAGGCAGGGTTGCAGGAGATGCAGATGTGACTGGAGGTGGGAGAAGCTGGCCTGGATGGGAGTGCCACACAGCAGGAGGCGGGGGGGCTGCCTGCGATGAGGCTTTATTGGGCTGGTGCCTAAAGTGTCACCACCCTTGGTGCCCCTGATTTGATGGGTCTGGGGTGGGCCATGATGCCAGTTACCAGCTCTGTTTCCCAGAGCTGCTGATCCAGAGAACTGGACGGGAGAAAGGGCAGTTGGGTCAGCTCGGCGGAATTCAGGGAACCCAAGGCACAGTTTCCTGATGTTCCAGGATCATCCTAAGCAGAAGGGCTGCGAGTACATGGGATATCCGCTTCTTCAGTTCAAGATGTTCACTTACTCATTTCCCAGAAGGCTCAGAGAACTTGCACTTTCTTTGCGATTATTCTGGCTGGGACACACAGGCCTTATCCTGCACCCCACCCCGCCGTCAGCTCTTGTCACTAACCTCAGATCTGATGGGGGCGTTCATCCAAAGTTGCACGTGTCCTTTGGACTTGCCTCTTGCCCCTTGGCAGCTTCCCTGCTGTACAGCTTCCCCTGAGGGGAGGAAGGGACGAGACAGACCTCCACTCTGTCGTTCCTGGTTGGAAGAATTTACATGTGAGATACACGCAGGTTTTCCTCTCCCACCTTTTGGGGTTAGTCGGCAGCTATTACAGTATCTGGTCATGTGTGACTTGCTCATGCTCCTTTGCGGTGTGTACCCTGCTCTCAGGAGCCTTTTGCTGCTTCACGTGCCATTCATTCTTCTCTAAAGACGACCTGACTGCAGGCCCGGGTACTTGAAACTCAGGACTAGGGTACTGGCGTGTTTCTCACCATGAGGAAACATGCCGATGAACCCAGTTTTGCCTGTTCTGCCTGTAATCCAAGGCGCTGGTGGGGCTGCATGAGGAGGCAAAAGGGCTTTGGGCTCCAGTTCCAGCTTTGTCCCTGTGGGCCCTGTCCCTGAGCAAGTGTCTCAGCCTCTGTGACCTCAGAGTCTCTCCTGTAAGAAGGGGCTCCTGCACCTTATGAGGACTAAATGGGGTGCGTTGGGGGGTGCGCCTGCACAGGGTCTGGCGCGGGCAGGCGTGGCTTTGTGGTCTGTGCTCAGTGTCACGGAGCAGATCGAGCCCTTGGGCCTGTGGAGGCTGAACCGGAGACCCAGCCCCAGGGGCCCCCGTGCTCCAGCCAGCTGGGCCCCTGCCACACACTCACGGCGAGGGTTTTTGTAAGGTATTTGCTAGAAGATGGCATTTAGTGTGGTAGGTTTCTTTCTTTAGAGCCACATCCAACTTGGAAACAACACATTCAGACAAAATATTTTCTCTTCCAGGCCGAGAAGACCTGGAGGGGAGGCCGTTAAGAAGGAGGAAGCTGTACTTCACATCCATTGCTGCCCGAGGGCACAGAGCTGGGTGCCTGGTCCTGACGGCCCCAAGGGGCAAACATCTAAAGCTCTTAGGGCTAAAAGGACCTAAACATGTTAGGGGGAGCCGAGGGCAGGGGGGGAAGCAGTTTTCTGGGTTAGAATGAGTGAACCAGCAATAAAGATGGGGGCAGATCATGTAGATCTCTCTTTTGTTGTATGTATAGTGTGTGCGTGGGCCTGGCTTCTCCCTGCAGCAGCTGACAGGGCATGGGCCTTGGGAATACCGCTGCCTCATGATTCTCCCTTTTTAAAGCATTTTCACCAGTATGTCATCTGAATCTAATGGAGCCTCTAGAGGTAACTATCAGTTTACAGAACATACCAAAGAGGACGGTGACATCCTGAAGAAGAGATCCGCTCTGCAGGGAATCTGATACCCAGGAAAAAAGGATGGGGGGTTGCTCTTCTAGACTAAGGCAGTGAAGACAAGGTGTGAGCCGAGAGGGGCGCTGGTTTAGGAACCCACTGAGATCAGCCAAGGCTGCAGGCTGCCCTCCTCGTGTGGGCTGCCCGCCCACCCACCTGCCCCTCTACAGCCCCCTCTCGAGTCAGTCCGAGCCCATCCCAGCCACAGCTCCTGACCTCTCTAGTCCCGCACTCCCCACACCACTTGTCCTGAGAATAAGGTTAAGGGTGCAGTACACACTGGCGGGCGCAGGCCCAGTGAGACCTGGCAGGACCCCCAGTGCCTGCCGCCCTGACCATTCCATAGGTCCTGAGTGCCACCTGCTGGGTACATGGGGACTGCGCTCCAAGAGCCTCCTCCCAGGGACCTGGAGGTCACACTGTCCTTGGGCTCCACCCAGCCCCTGGTGTCCAAAGTCCCCTGCCAGGAGCCCAGGTCTGCGCTTCTGTTTCGTCTTATAAGCCGTACTCCAGAATTAGTCTGACCTCCCCCCGTGGTGAAACCCCCACATCTCTGAGAGGTGAGCATCCATCTCAATGAAACGGGCTCCCTGGGCAGCTTCAGAGGGGAAGCTAGCTGCTGTTCAAGGGCTCTGTTCCACTGGGCAGAGTCACATTTCACAGTAACCACTGGAATTAAGGTCCAGAAACTGATGACACGAGCCCCCTGCCCCTGCCAGGGGTGAGGGGAGGCCCACAAATAGCCCGAGGACCTGAGGGAGGAAGGGGTGAGCCAGGGCAGCAGGCTTGCTAAGAGCCCCTGACCACAACTCTGCTGTCTTACACCTGCCCAGCCAGTGTGCCCCGCCTTACTGGGCAGACGTCTCTTCCTGACCCTCCTGCCCTCTCCACTCTGACCTCCAACAGCTTGTTGGCTAGAGCTTCCAGCATCTCTGCTGGGCACACCTGCTCCAGACCTTCCAGAACTGTCCCACTAGGTGCTCCTACGTCCTTTCAATCTCCAATCCACCAGGGCAGATGAAGCCCCCACCACACGTCTCACATCTCACGCAGGGCCAGGCGATGCTCCACAGATCAAACTCCCGACCTCCTTGGCCTTTATCCCTGCTCCTCTCTGGCGTCCCCCAACTCGCTTCATCTTCAAGACTACATTTATTGAAGGGAATTCGACAAAGTTGGCGTTGGGGTGCAGCAAAGACAACTTCTGCCACTTGCACAGCTGCTTCATTGTGTAGAACTCATCACATGCAGCTCCATACGCTTCACCTGTCTTGGCCCTCGGGTGAGGGCGTCTCAAGTTCCCTGAGGGCTCAGCTCCACTGGGTTTCCCTCCTTGCTCAGTGGAGGCCTACACTCAGTGAAGGCCCCGGCTCTTTCACGCCCAGTCTGGGCTTGGTGGCCCCACTCTAGAATGGGAGCCCTTGCAGGCAGGGTCGCATCCCAGTCATCCAGGGGAGACCTGGCCCCGTGTCTGCTGAGTGCAGCTGCCAAAACGGAGGGTGGCCCACTGGTGGCCCAGCTTGCTGCTCTGGCTGGGACCGCTGGCCACACCTACCAGCCATGAGACCCAGAAAGCGGAGCGCTCTGTGGTCAGAAAGCAAAGCACTGTGCCTGCCCCCTTTCCATTCCCTGCAGTTCTGGCAACAGAGATCTGCCCGGATTCTGGGGAAGATGTTTCTTGTTCCTTCCCTGAGGGGCTGCTGACTGGGGAATAGTGGAGCTGAGAGCCAGGAGGAGGGAACAAGAGCATTAACTGGGACAGTGTGTGTCCTGGGGGTGCAGTGGGGGCAGGCAACAGCAGAGTCCCCTGCACTTCCAGTCACAGGTGGTCGTCTGAGCGGGGCTCAGGCCACCCTGATCTAAGGACAAAGTGAAAGGAGGGTGGTGTGACCTCCAGAAAAGGACAGGAAACCTGGGTCCAGCTAAGACATCCAGGAAAAAGGGCCGGAAATAAAATCCCACTCCAAAAACTTTACAGAGTTTCAATCTGAGGGAAACGCGCAGAAGGCATTTGCCCACCAAGCCTGGTTTGTTTGGAATTGTTTTGAGTTAAGAACGAAGGACTGGAAGCACCCGAGGCAGCCCCCATCACGGGGTGCCTTCCTGTGTGCGCAGTGCCCCTGCGCTGGGCCCCCACACCCAGCCCTGGCATTCAGGAGGAATCAGCTTGACCTCCAGAAGTTTCCACTCCTTTTATTGTTCATTTCTAGTCTTCAGGCTGCCCAATGACACAGAAATTACAATAAAAAATAAAATGATTTCTAAAGGTGCCAGGGAAGAACATGATCCGAGTTCCGAGGCTGGAGCCTCTGTGCAGCTGTGGTCCTTCCGTGGGCCAGTGGTCAGTGAGCGGCCCACATGGACCCCTCGTGGCAGGGCCTGGAGCGTGCCCCTACCCCAGAAGGGGAGTGAGGTGCACCCATGGGACAAAGCAGGTGAAGGCCCTGGGCTTGCAGGTAGGACGGCCCGCCACACCTGCCAGGTACACCTGCCGACCACCCTCAGGCTAAAGTTGGCTTTTCTGCTCCTTGAAAACAAAACACGAGACAAACACCACAAAAACCCTCCCACCAGATGAGCTGGGTCCAGAGAGGACAACCTGGAGCACTGTAGACCCGAGGGAGGGGCTGCACCTGAGAACAAGTTGCTGCCCAGTGCCAGCCGCCCGGCCTTCCCTCCCTTTATCTCCCCTCCCGTCGGTGGGCTGGCCGGGGACCTGGCACTGAGGTCCAGATGAGCTCTGAGCAGCAGCAGCTCTGCTTGCTTAGGGGTCTTTCTGGTGCTGTGACACATCCAGTTCCCACGTCACTGTGAAGTGTGACCTCCAGTCACAGCTTTATGTCATACGGAATCCTGAACTGTTTTCCTTTAGGTAATTCACCTCGACACCGGCTTCACTACGAGATATCAGTGGTGTTATTTTTTTAAATCTCATAATAATTTGATTGGGACCTGTGGAGAACGTGGAGAGCAGAGGGGACCATGAAGAGGGCAGTTTTCCGATGCCTGGTGATGGGTGCAGAGTCCCACCCCCGCGCCCTTCGGATGTGAAGCAGTATACGCTGTGAGAAGCAGGGTGAGGGTGGAATGTTTATTAAGATTTTCTACAACACTCGTAGAGAACATTAGATAAATAATTAAAATTCAGAGTAACTGGACATTTGGGGCCAGATGGCTGGTTCTCAGGGCAGCCTCTGTGCGGGGATTGTGTCCACACTTGAGGGCACTGACACCTCAATCACACGATCCCGTTCAGTTAGACGGCGGCCACTCCCACGGCTGCACAGGACCCACCTGTCTCTAAGAGAAAGCAGAGGTGGTGGGTCACAGACCTCAAGGCCCTACACAGACGACACATCTCCTCAGAGTCTTAGCGAGTGGCCGTTTCTCTTGGCCGTGGTGAGCTCAGTCACCTGGAGAAGTTAAAGAAGTGCCACAGTGATGGCAAAGACCATTCTGGAAAATGATGCCGCAGCTAGAGGTCTTTCAGACTTCCACTCAGAGTGTGACCTCCAGAATTCAGTGCTCACCGTGGTCCAGGTTTGCTGATGGCCTGGGCACGCCAGGTGAGACCAGCTGACCAGAAGGACAGCAGCCATTAGTGGGTGCTCAGGGCTCCTCCAGGGCCTGGGGCAACTGTTTGATCTGGCGGCTGTGGACCACTCGCAAAGCACCCCCTGCGGCCTGGTGGAGCTGGGTCTCCAGGGCACTGCGGAGGTCGTTGACTGGCACATCGGGCAGGGGGTTAAAGCTAATGATGACCCCATCCTTTGAGGCTGGCCCCACCTCTGCAAGAGGAGCCACATCCCGCCGTCTCCTCCGAAGGTCAGAGCCGGCCTGGACTTTCAGGTCTCGGTTGGGTTTGGCATTGTCTGGCTTCTGAGCCCCGGGGACGGCCAGTTTGGGCCCCAGGTCAGGGTCCGGCCTCTGCTCAGGCTCTTGGACAGCAGCATCCTCCCCGAGATGATGGTCCCCACCGAGGGTCTTTTTTCCCGCCTCTGGGTGAGCGCCCTGTTGCATACTGTGAGCCCCAGCAGAGACAGCCCGGTGTTCCGGCTGACGTAACTCAGCCTGGGCCGGAGGGGCTGCTCCTCCCGACCTGCTGGACAGGCCTGCAGGTCCCCAGTCTCGGCTCACTTGTTGGGGCTTCATGTGAGGGTCCCTAATCTCTGCCCCTGCCCCCAGCGCGTCTGCCTCTTGAATGTTGGCGCCAGCAGCTGCCACCTCCTTTCCAGATTTCTTCCTTTCTTGGGAGCCTCCGTCAAAAACATCCCGACTCTGCCTGGGGAATTCCCCAGCGTCACGCTTCTCTGGGCTCCCAGGTGCCCTGGCAACATCTGGCACAGGGACCCGCTCCTGCACACCAGCGCCAGCCGCCTCGGGCACAGCACCCTGCCAACCTTCCCTCAGCTCAGCCTGGGCTGCCTGGGGCTCCTTGTCAGCACCCCCGCCGCCAGGAGAACCAGCTGGGGCTTTGCCTGCTGCCCCCTTGGGCTCCTCCACAGAGTGCTGGCTGTGCCCCGGAGCTCCAAGTACAGGGTCCAGAGGCTGCAAAGGGGCACGCTCTGCCATCCCTCCATCGTGGGCCTCCTGCTCCTTACCTCTGAGAGCGGCCAGCCCAGGCTCAGGCTGCATGTCCACTGCAAATGAAATTGGTCATCCATTTAGCCACAGAAATGATAAGAAGCTACCGATGTTGGGACTAAAAAGAACCAACTTGTCAGCAATTAACAAATATAAATCAAAACTTAAATTTGCCCAGCAGGATTCTAGGCCACGGAGCCACAGATCCAGCCACACAGGACACCAGGAGATGCTGTGGCATTCACGCGTTAAGTGACACCCCACTTGCCCTAGACCCCCCACTGCCCACTTGCTCTGCCCACTCTGCCAGCCTGGACTTGCCCTCCTCGCCGTCCTGCCTCTGCTGGTGGATCTCCTTGTGCTGCTCTTCGATTACTGCAAGCAGCTTCTCCTGCTGGTCCAGCAGGCGCTTCTGCTGCACCTGCTGTTCTTTAATCACTTGCAACAGGACAGCGTGGTCCAGCATCTCCGCCCTGCCAGCTTCTGGTATTCGGAAAACACACACAATCAGAGCCTGCTGAGGCTGCAGAGGCCCAGGCTGGGCTGAGGGTGGTGTGAGACACACAGCAATGACACCAAGGTCGCCTGTGGGACCCTCCCCAGGCACAGCCAAGGCCTTTCCAATGGTGGCCTGTGATCGTTCTAACTGCCTCGCTCTCACACCAGCTTGTGGTTTCGACACACCCAGCAGAATCCCAGCTACCCTACTGTCAGTCACTGGGAATAAATGCCGAGAGAAGGGCCGAGGTTGTGTGCCAGGACAGCAACGATGACCATCTGGGCTGGGTGATTTAAACTGTAAACTATTCTAAAAAAAGGATACTGTTACTTTAAGAAAGTTTCCTCTGGGCTGGCCCCGTGGCTTAGTGGTTAAGGGCGGGCGCTCCGCTGCTGGCGGCCTGGGTTCGGATCCCGGGCGCACACCGACGCACCACTTGTCTGGCCATGCTGAGGCCGCGTCCCACATACAGCAACTAGAAGGATGTGCAACTATGACATACAACTATTTACTGGGGCTTTGGGGAAAAAAAAAGGGGAAAAAAAAAAAAGGAGGATTGGCAATAGATGTTAGCTCAGAGCCGGTCTTCCTCAGCAAAAAGAGGAGGATTGGCATGGATGTTAGCTCAGGGCTGATCTTCCTCACCAAAAAAAAAAAAAAAAAAAGTTTCCTCTAAGGCGAGAATTTTAAAAACAAACAAAATTGTCCTCCTTTTCAGCAGACACAAAAGCTGGTCTCCCCTCAGTGAGACCAAGGCCGGCTGCTGCCACGAGCAGGTCCTGACCAGCCCTGAGGAAGCTGGGTGCAGGCCACCATGGAAGGACAGCAGGGGAGCTGAGGGAAAGGCCAGCTGCAGCAGGTGTGTGTAAGAGGACCTGCTATGCTCTTGCACACCCACAGAACACAGAACACCCAGCCGGAAACGTGGAGCCAGGGAAGGCCCCAGGTCTGAACACCCTGCGCCAGCAGTGGCCTCCCAGGGGTACACAGGGGAGCCCCCATTTACTGCAAATGCTTCAGCACTGGGTCAGCTATTCACAGTGAACAGCCACAGTTACGTAACTTTTAGACACATATGTCTTTAAATAGGAAGCTATGAAAGATGATGTAACTGGTTAGGGCTGTCAGGTATAAAAGTTCAAACCGGAAAGAATGTTTTGCGAGTGTTGAGAGCCCCACATGCCGGGCACACATGTACGTGCTGGCCCATTCTCCCCAGCGGTGACCAGTGACCTGACAGACAACTCGGGGTCGGCCTTCTCCCAGGGACTGCAGTGGCTTCTCCCTGGAGCCTGGTGCAAGGACATAGAGGCGGGCAGGCTCGTGAGGAGCATGCTGGGGCCCACTGCAGAGAGGGCAAGAGGGGAAGACAAGAGGACAGAAGGACAGGGTCACAGGGAGGACAGGAGAAGGGCCAGCCCCTGCGCCCTGCCTGGTACCCATCCAGACATCCTAAGGTCATCAAGACGCCTGCCAGAGAAAGGCCATGTCCTGTGGATTAGGTCAGGGCTCCACAGACCTCCGTTTAGATGAGGGACATGCACAGCGTCATCCCCACAGGGATCTAGACCAGCCTCCTAGGCCACAGGCCATGCTGTCACCCTGGGTGCCTGTGGCTCATGACCATATAATGGTTGATGGTACAAGGACGGCCCCATGTGCTGTCCCCAGGGTAGGTTCAGGAAGAGCAGGCCCCACCGCCTCACTGGCTCTTTGGAAGACCAGTCCTGGACTGATGCTGGAGAAGGAGGGGAAGTGGTGCCATGTCCAGCTGGAAGCGACACATGGGACAGATGTGAAACAGACTGGAGGTGACAAGCTGTGCCCACAGCCAGAGCCCCACGTGCAGCTCTGGGTTCCCACCTGGCCCATCAGGACCATGGGGACCAGACTCGCAGATGGGATGAGAGCCGCTGGATATTAATATACGTGCAGAATATATTAATATTGGGCCATGCGTACGGCAGAAGTTACATGCAGGCCCCCTGCCCTGTTTCCTAGGTGGGGCCTTAAGCGACCAGCACTCACAGATTGCACTCAGCTGTCCTCTAGCGACAGCGGAACCACAGCAGGCTAAGAAAGACCAGGAGATTTGTAAAAGAAGGGAGTGAGTTGGGGTGTCAAGGGTACCCCAACTGAAGGGCTGTGGCCGAGCCCGGGGGGTAAACCATGCGTGCAGCTCCTGGGGTTCTGCCTCACGTGCTCCATGCAAGGCCGTGACTGGGATGGCATGCCCGCGCTAGCTCTGCTCTTGCATCTTTAAAAACTTCACAGGGGCCGGCCCGGTGGCACAGCGGTTAAATGTGTGCGCTCTGCTTCGGTGGCCCAGGGTTCGCAGGTTCAGATCCCGGGCGCACACCAACACATCACTTGTCAAGCCATGCCGTGGCGGCGTCCCACATAAAGTGGAGAAAGATGGGCACGGATGTTAGCCCAGGGCCAATCTTCCTCAGCAAAAAGAGGAGGGTTGGCATCAGATGTTAACTCAGGGCTAATCTTACTCACAAAAAAAAAAAAAAAGATAAAAACTCCACACACAGGCCTTCTATCGGAACACACTCCTCTCGAGTCATACCTGCCACTATCTTTTTGATTTCAGCTGTTCATCCCATTGAGCGGCGTACGGAAGAAAGAATAGGAAACCGTAAAAATTCTCTTTTCAGATAGAAAAGAATCAAACAGGTTTAGGTAACAAATTATAAGAACTGGAACCAACAAATAGAGGGAGACTAAAACCAAAGACGCAGGAACGTGTGTGAAATTCCTAAAGTGGCTCTAGAATTCCAGAAACCCCAGCACCTCTTGGCTCTGCCTGCCAGGCCTGGCTGTTCAAAGGCTCTGCAGCAGCCCCACCCCCACACCCAGGGCTCCTTCCAGCTGGCTGTCTCCGCAGGGCCCAGGGGGGCCGCTCCTCGGATGCTGCTACCAAATACAGTGATGCCTCGGGGAGGGCGCAGCCTGGGTGGGACTTGGCATAGAAGCCCATCAGTCACCAAAGAAATCACTGGACCATCACTGGCCAAGACAGCTGCCATCACCTCTTCCACAGAGGTAGCGCCCAACCATGAGAGGCCACGAGGAGGCGGGTTTCAAAAGCCAACAGCTGGAGTCACCCCAAAATGAGCCTGAAGGTCTGGAAGAGGATTCAGAGCAAGCCTTATTTGTTGGAGAGAAAAGGTTCACCAGGCTTTCGTTTTGGGACAAGTGATTGGTCTTCACGCAGGTGGATACCAATGTCCCCCCAAGCTGAGGGGGGCAGCCAAAGGGGATGGAGCTGCTGCCAGAGGCTAGGTGCTAAGACAGAGCAACAACAGTCACCCGGCCCTCTCATCCTCAAAATAAGCTACACGTCTGGGTGCACTAACGCCCCCACACCTGGCTGGCTTTAAATACCACGCGTGTTAGAAATATTAACATATCTGCTTTGAAATGAAATACAAATGGTACTGGAAAGCCATGTGACAGAGCAACAGATTCTTTCTTAAGGGGAGAAAAGGAGATAAAAAATGTTCCCAGAGAGGTGCCAGAGAAAAAGCTGTTAGTGGGAAAGGGGGACCTAGTTCAGGTCTCTCCTCAGGAGGAAGCCGGACAGTGCAGAGGCTGGGGTGGCCTGGAAAGGCCCTCAAGATGACGCACACCTAGGGCTCCTTCCCAGTCATGGCTCCAGGTCTGACAGGAAGGGCAGATGTCCCCTGGCCCCAGGAGGATGAGGTGAGAAAGCCAAGGCCTTACCCTCCAACTTGCTGCCAGCGTGGTCTCCACCCTGCCCCTCCACGTTCCTCTGCTCTCGCAGCTCGGCCTGTGGCCCAGCGCCAGCCAGGAGGGGAGCCTTCCCACCTGCACACACAGCGAAGACTCAGGAGGTTTGCAAAACACTCAGAAGAAGGTAGAGGAGGGACAAAGGTGGCAGATGCTTCCTAAAATTACCCTCCACTGCCCTCCCTCCCCCATCAACACAGTATATATTCAAGCTGATGGTTACCAGGGAGTAATAAATACATATTTAACAATCTCATAGGCAGCGAGCCAGTGTTAACTGCCTTCGCCAATTAACATGCAGGAACCATGCTAACCAGCTCTTAGACAGCACTTAACAACATGGTACCTGTCAAGCGCTCGCACGCCATCCCCCCTGTATGCCCAGACACACAGGAGCAGCGTGGCACCTGACATTTAGTGGTCTGGCAAACAACTGTGTGACAGATATTATAGTAGCTGTCAAGCCACCAGGCTCTTGGTTTTCCCCAACAGCTGCTGCAGGGGATGCTACATTCACAGGCTAATCTTGTGGGAGGAGAAAGAAAGCAGACAGGAGCAGGGTGATCAGACCCTCCTGTCCCTTGCCCAGCCTGCCCGGCCCCACACGAGGAATCCTCTCAAGAAGAGGAGAGGGTGCTGAGACAGGCCCAGGCTGACACCCACCAGCCTCGCTCTTCTCCGCCGGCTGGCCCACGGCCCCTGCGGCGTGGCCTGGCAGTGGGACACCATCTACTCTTTCTCTGGCACCTGCCACCAGGGCGTCCTGCTTCTCGGGGTGCACGCCCCTATCGCCTGGCCCCAGCTCCTTCTTCACAGGCTTGATGGCTGGCTGGCTGATTTCTTCTGGAACCTTCTGGGGATCTTCAGGAAGACCGCCCACTGCCTCCAAGGCCTGGTCCTGCCCAGGTCTCTCTCTTTCTGAATCCGGCAGAGGAGGCTCCATCTGACCCCTGCCCCCAGGAGCCTTTTCATTCATGTGTTTGGACGGATGTTCCTTTTCTGGTCCTTCTTGGTCTTGACCTTCATCCACCACCACCTTGTCGTGAGGGACGGGGGGTTCATGGCGGTGGGCCTCACCCATAGGTACTGCAACACCTGGAAAGAGACAGAGGACATGTGGGGGAGTGGGCAGGGGAGGATGGCCCAGGGAACGTGAACTGTGGTTCTAGTGCCCAATGGTGACATGGGCCAGCAAGTGCCACCTTTTACAGATCTGACTGCTGTCTAGCTGAGGACTGATGCTATTTCTGGAAAATTACAAGAGGGGGAGCTGCAGACCAGTTGCTTTGGCCAGGGGCAGAATATCCCTCTGAATCAGAGGCTGAGGAGGCAGAGAGGACCAGCACCTGGGCAGGGCTGAGGGGAAGAGCCCTGAGGACGCCCCTCTTCGCCCTCTGCCCTCCAGCCGGGCGGCCACCCCACCTTGACCAGGCCGATCCAGCTGCACTTCCTCCTGCTTCTCCTCGGCGTCTTCCCTCTCGGGCATGTTCACGGGGCCTTTAATCTGGGCCTGCTCCATCTCATCTTTCTCATTTGGCAGCTTCGGCTTCTCTCGGCCATCCCCAGCCACGTCTACAACCGGATTCTGGCCTGTAAGCATGGCACAGCTAATTGAGCAGTGTTTCCACACGGCTACACTGCCAATCAGCATGGGCACCAGGCGGCTTTCCCTGGATTGTAACCACATTTCCCAGTTCAATGGTAGAGCCAACACAGTTATTTTTCTTCCTGTTCAATCATTAACAGCTAAGTAGCACAGAAAATTGTCATTTTTCATGTGTATTCATAACAAAAATATATCAAAATGCAATTTACACCTAACTGGGTGCAGAAGAGCAACTGGTAGCTATCACCACCAGAGGGCAGCACAAACCCACCACGTGTGGCAGGCTGGGGACAGCCGACCTGGCAGCGCCTCTGTGGGGACAACCACCTGCTAAAACCCAACCCCCTGCTGCAGACTGGGGGGTGGGGACAAGAGGCGCTTAAGAAAATGCCATGAAGGCTGATTTGCAATCCCGTCAATGTCTTACTGCTGATGGGAAAATTAGTACTGAAAGAAGACAAGAAAAAGAGGCAGAGCCTGCAAAGCTGTCCCCTCCCACCTCCCATGGCACCACTCCACCCGCATCCCACACAGCCTCCCTGGAAAGCCTGACAGCTCCCGGCACGGGAACTGCACGCGGGTCAGAGGGGAGAGGCGCACGAGGATGGCCCACAGAACCAGGCCAAGTGGCGCCTCTTAGGAAACTGGCTCCATGAAAACCCCACTTTCTACATGTTAGGCTAAGGTAGCAGAAACTAAAGAACTGTCTAGAGAAAAAACTTTAAAAAACAGTCATTTCAGTTCAGAAGCCTGAGACAACCTCTGTTCCCATCTCGGGACACGAGTTGCCCAGGAAGGGAGACTGAAATCCTTGTGGGTGGTGGTGCTGCTGGGGCAAGCCCATGTGTGGGGCACTGCGGCCAGAAGGACCTGAGTGGGGACATCTGGGGGGGATTCACAATAGTCCTGCTCAGATGGGGTCCTGCTGCCTCCCGAAGGACAGGAAATGCCCTGGGCGGACTCGATGTGCCTGTCTGGGGAGGCACCTTCACATGGGTGGACAGCCAGACGCTTGCTTGTCCCCTAAACAAACGTGGGGGGAAGGGACCCTGCTGGGTGCTGGAGGACTAGTCAGCAGGAAGCTGACTCTGGACTGTACAGTTTAACCAAGTGGCTGATTCAAATAAGCGTGTGGCTGTCGCCCGAGCAGGTGAAAATGTTCTGTCTCCACCACATAATTAACCCCCTGGCAGAGGCCCCTGTCTCAACCCAGAACTGCCATAAATCAAGAGGTGTCTGTCTAGCGGATTACAAAGTTCAGAAAGGGGCCGGGAAGGGAAGGAAAAACATGAGAAAAGAAGGAAAGTCTCCATCTGTCACAGGACCAAGTCACCTCTGGGCGCTCATTTCTCAGCAGGGAACAAAATTAGCCCATGTTAGGTGTGAAGGAAGGGCCCAGGGGAGCTCTGTGCGGTCTGCCAGGCCAGGAGGGACCGCCCTCTGGAAAATGTCGTGGGACGCGGGAAGGCACGACTCTCAACCATCTGCAGGGCCCTGGCTCTCACAGTGAGGCCGAGAGGCCTGGGGCTCCCTGACCCTACAGGCCATCGGCCCAGCCTCCGCCCTTCCCAGCTGTCCGCAGGCAAAGGACATGGCATTTCCTAAAACAGAACTGAGCTCTGCATCAGGACAGTTGGCCAGCAACGCCTCTTGGCTGCACTGAAACCAACTAAAACTTCAGAATTAATAACTGAAACAGCCCAACGCCTGCTCAGCTTCCGATGGCGACATGGCTGTGGGCTGTGCAAAGACAGGAAACCACCCTGGGTGGCTGGTGGCTCTCCGCCTGTGAAGGCCAGGCAACAACGTGGGGTAGGAGCTGGGGGGCTCTGGCCCCAACTTCTCCTGGGAGGCAAGCAGCAGTCGGGCTCAGGAGTGGCCAGCAGAGGGCGTACCAGGGCTGGCTCAAACCCCAGAGGCCTCCCAAAGGGTCCTCTCTGGTGAGTAGCTGGCCGGCCCACCTCGCTCATCCTCAAGGTCATCGCTTCCAGTTACCAAAAGCGATGACTCGCCAGCAATCCCTGGCAAAAGGAACCAGACCCAGGAAAATTCCGTGCTGAGGCCTCATTCTGCAGCAGGTGGTATATCCCCATCCGCTCGGGCATTCTAGGTTGTCAGTGGCCTCTCTCCACACTCAGAACAGTGCTGCGTGGTGACAAGGGACACACTCACCCTCCTGATGGTGCTTCAGGCCGGGAGCTCCCCTAAGGCAGGCCAACAGAAGGTTACCCGTCAAGACTCTCTTTTCCAGCATCCAGTGTGGGCCTTCCGTCATTCTGGAACACTGGCTCAGGGAGATGGGACCAAAGGGACTGAGACCTGTGGCTCTGGGTTCTGTCTCTGGGGTCCAGGACACATGGCAGTTTAGTGGGTACGACATCTAGAGCTGCCCCTGTCCACTGAGAGGAGAAATCTGCATCCAAGGCTGGTTTCCACTTTGGAAGGTGGGGCTGGGGGTTAGGGTCTGGGGGCAGAGGTTGGGGGCCAGGGCTCCTCTTGGTTGACTCTCCCCTCCGAGACCCCTGTCCCAAGTCTGGGGATGCTCCCTGCTGGTCACTGGCTATCGTCTCTGAGTATCTTGTGACCAGTAATAGACAGAAGCAGTCACCTCTGACAGCCAAGCACCAAATTCAAGTGACTTTTAAAATTACATCTGAGTCCCACAGATGGAGTCCTTATCAACTGGAGAACCCCAGGTTCAGGAAACGTACAGGACCCCGGGGCTAGGCACTCAGAAAGCAATAATAGCCAGCTGATGTTACTTTAAAAAGCCAGGCCCTGCTTTTGGGTAACTTTCCCATAACCAACTTCTGCCTCTCCTAAGCACCTGCCCTCCATGTCGCCTTGAGAAAGGATTACTCACTGAGGGCTTACTTCTAAAACCCACTCTTCTTAACTTAGCTGGTAGGGGAAACCTTGACTATCATGTTCTCTTTTCTTTTTGAAGGTGAGGGAATCTCAACGGCTCCTTGGACCCTAGTATCCCAGCAGGGTCGCAGCCTTGGCACCAGTCTGGCTCCCTCCTCACGGTTCTCCTGCAAACAGGTGCATCTGTCCATGGGCAAGAAGTGGAGGCAGGCGTGCCATTCCCTGGGGGACCTACAAGGGTGGGCCCAGGTCACTTGGGGCTGGACATGGAAGGCAGCGCCCTCTCTGCCCCTGAGTGGCCTTTCCGAGTCCAGCTGCGCTGGCACGGTTATCTCGACGGCACCAGTGCAGTGAGCTTGCTGCTGCGTCCTCACACACAGAAATCACAAGGGGCGGCGGGGGCGCGAGATGCAGCACGGCAGCTGTTAAAAACCCCTTCTCACAGGGCACAGGGAGAGCTGAGGCAGGACCACGCTGCTCCCAGACTAGAGAGAAGGCAGCCGTGCCTGGAGCCATATCTCCCTCACACACATGCTGGCATCTGTCGCAGGAGTTCAGACGCTTTCCCGCCTGCATGCATGGGAGCTGTGCTGGTGATAGGTGGCAGTCCGGGCGAGTACTCGGGAGAAACATCACGACAGAGCAGAGGGAGGGACAGTGGCGAGCTCCCACTCGGGCCTGTGGTCACCCTCTGCCACCTGAGTCTGTATGCATGGATGTGTTGTCGCTGCCCGCAGGCCCTCCTCCCGTCCACGCCACTGAAGGCCTGGTCTGCTCTCCAGTCAGGCACCCAGAGGCTCCGTCCTGGCCCTTCTTCTTCTCTCACACTGAGCAGAGAGGCACAGCTGTGTCCCCCAGCTGGGAGGAGGGGACGAGTTGTACAAGGCGTGTGAGCCAAGGCTGTTCCCCAACACTGCGCAAGAGGGGTGCAGATGCTGGGAGGGGAAAGGAAGCAAGAGGACACAGCTGCACTCAAAGGAGGGAGCCGAGAGTGTTACAAAGTCTGTGCCAGCCCTGCCAGACCTCTAGGGTGCTATCAAACACAAGATAAATGGCCTAATTCACCTTTTTTTAATGGATAATTGTCTCGCGAGCCTCCATGGGGTTCAGCAACCTCTTCCCTCCAGACTTGCTGTGAGCCTCACCAGCGTGTGCCTGGGCTCTGTGCTCACTGAGAGCGCCAGGCCGTGTGTGCTGGTCACATGTGTCCCAAGAGGGCAGGACTCCCATCGGCAGTCCTGGGGCTGGTGCAGGGCTCTAAGCAAGTCCGTACCATTTTGGCCTCTGTGACATCAAAGAGACCAATAAAACTATGCTCACACGCCAACGGGCAAAAGTCCGACACGGTGCACACCCGGCGAAGGCCCCTGCAGGCCCAGCTCTGCTTCAACGAGGCAACCCATCAATTATAGGGGAGGCCAGGGGCGAGAAAAACCAAGAATGCGCTACAAACAAACAGCATGTGGTTCCGAGAGGGGCCATGTGTTTAGTGACAGCCTCATGGAAGAAATGGAAACCAGATGTGGCCACGGTGGGCTCCAGGTGAGCCAGCGGCCCGCAGCCCGCCTCCGTGACAGGATGCAGCTGCTCACGCTGGCCGTGGGCTGGAGGCTGCGCAGCGCCATCAGGACAAGCAGCCTGGTGCTGACTAATGCAGAGAAATCCACTACCAGGCAGGCCTGCAGCCAGCTGAGAAAGGGGACACCAGTGCCCGAGTCCAGTTCTGCTGGGGCTGTCCCCAAAGTGCACAAGCCCAAGGAACCCATCGGGCGTCAACAGGGGTGAGAGTACGACGTCCACTTCCCTCTTCAAGTGGATTTTTTTTCCCGTCCAAATCACTAAATCTGCACAACTCGGCTCGGACACCCAGGCAGCTTCTGACCAGTGATTTGTTTCTCTGGTGAACCGTGCTATACCCAGGGGTCCTCTCCGCAAGGAACCCGCAATGGGGTAATCTTTTTGTTGGCCCTCGCAGGAAGGCAGAAGAGAGCTACTCTGGGCTCAGGGCCCCCAGAGAAGACAGTGCCCCCAGAGAGACTGCTCTCCTGCAGGGGAGTGTGTGTGGGGCACTGACTCCCGCCAGGGCTCTCCAAGCACAGGGAGGTAAAGCTGGAACAGAGACGGCAACAAATCTGAGGGCCACGTGCCTCCAACTGCTGTCAAGCCTGCCAGCCCCAGCAAGCACCCGGAGCACGTCCGCCTCTCTTGCCAGCCCTTCGGGACCGTTTCCTCTGTAAGTCACGGTAGGTGAGGAGACCGAGCTCCTACCCGGGGCAGGCACTCCTTAGCCATCACCGTCAAAAAGCACCTGAAATCCACCAGCAAATGGCACTGCTTCCTCAGAGGGGCCTCCTCGCCAGGGGCATGCTAGGCTGGCAGCCTGGCGAATCTCAATCCAAGCCATGGGTCTCTTTGCAGGGGAGGTGAGCCAGACACACTTGGATGCACCACTCATGTGAATGCATAAAAACCAACCACTGTCAGGGCAGAAGTCCTCAGAATGAATGTTATCGTAGATACCACCCAAGCCTGATGTGGCTGGGCAGCAAGGGGCCAGCATGGAGGGAGCCCTCCCTGCAGCTCCCTCCCATCTATGCCTGGGTGGGCCAAAGGCTCCAAGAAGCCTCTTCTCTCTTGGTCCCCCAAGACACCAACCACCCCCAGACACAATGGAGTCCCTGCTGTACCCCGGAAAGCCATGCTCAGAAACCACACATCCCCACACCCCCACAAGCACAGCCATAGGTGGGGTGTCAGGGCCACAGCACGGGCGGGCCTTCTGAGGAGGGCCCGCAGCTGCAGGAGGGAGTGTGGGTTGTCACTCTATCAAGGGCAGGTGATAATACCGGGACACAGTGAGGCACGCTGAGGGGGCATCACTGACTTTGTCCAGGTGAAACCTGGCTCAAAACTCACACCCTTAAAACAAACGAAACAAATAAATGTGAGCAATACCCACAAATTTACTTACCTATTAGTGCACTGAACGGTGGGCGTTGAGATCCCAGCCCTACTATCCACCATCCACCATCTGTCCCGTGCACGCAGGTGGCTGCCCCCGACTAGCACCCTGGAGGTCCCCCACCCTACTCCACCACCCAAATGGGACAGAGGCAGTCGGGCAGATGAGACAGCCCACATCTCAGGACCCCGAGGTGACAGTGCTGGGGCATCCATGTGCATACCCGAGAGCCGCCTACCTGGGAGCCGGGCAGCCTCTACCTTCATCGCGCCCTCAGCCTCTCCAAGCTGGCCGCCGGGGGCTTCCTTTGCCAAGTCCATGGGGGTCTCCTCGCTCACGGACAGGGTGATGTATGTGCTGACCACCAGGATGCCCACGCCGACCCAGAGTACTACCTGGATGAGACAAAGGCCTCAAGAGCAAAAGAGGTCACACAGTGCCCACACCCCTACCATTCCCAGGGGAGACGGGAGGTGCGCAGGCATGAAGCCCCCTCCATGAGCATAGCAGGAGGGGCCTGGGGGCACAGTGCACGCAGGCCGTGCTCCTGCCTGCTGACCAGCATCGCTGGCCACTAGGAGATGAAGGTCCTGAACTGATTAACATGACAGAATCATGGGCCAAACCTGCTGGAGCTGCACTGGCAATGGGGGGAGGGGCTGGCTGGGGGTGGCAAGAGGGGAACCTGAAGAAAGCAAGGGCATTGTGTACGACATGAAGGTGCCTACTCACTGGCAGAGACCGAAGCGCACTGACCAGGCCTGCTGGAGAACCCAGCGGCCGGACACGCCTATGCCCACGGCCGCAGAAATCAGGCCCCTTGATGGCTTTGCCCAGAGGAGCAAGAATCTCGGGGCAACTGCCCAGCTTGAAGTGGGGCCCTTGCGTGTCCCACCCCCTCGCCCAGCGGCTGTGTAGAGGGCCCAGCCCAGGGTCCCTGGCTCCTCACAGCCCAAGTATGAACGACCTGTCCCCCAGTGTCACCTAGTGCATGCAGATGGGGAGAGGACCATGGAGGCGGCGGCTCCTTGCCCCCCTTTAGCTAGGGGTGCCCATCGGTGCTGCCCAGTAAGCTGCATTGGAGGCATGACTGTCAAGGGGCCTCATCCCCGGCCCTCCTGTGAGGGACCCCACAGCTAATCCTAAATGCTGCCCTCAGTAATTTAGTACAACAAACCCCACATTATATAACTCCATCTCCTTCTGCAGCTCCTGCTATTTTAAGACGTGCACATGCTGGACCAGCGCTCTCTGTGTTATTCATGCCGCCACAGCAGTGGATGCTGCTATTTCTGCCCTGCCCAGGCCCAGCCCATCCAGCTCTCCCCAGGAAGCAGTAAGTCCTGGTTCTGCAGAGTTCTGCAGGAGAGGAGCCCGTGAGGTGGCCTGCCGGAGAGCCAGGGAGACCCCGCCACTTGGGCTCAGAGCCAGAACTCAAAACCCTTTTCTGAAAGGCATGTTGACTCTAAAATATCAGATCAAAGGAACTGGTGAGACTTTCCTAGGTCCAATACAATTAGAGAAGAGAGATTTCCACAGGAAGAAAGGACCTGTACCCCTAAAGGTAGATGCTGACCAGCTAGGAAAAAACCTCAGGGAAGAAGTCCATTTCCTTCACTGCCACTCCAGGAACACTGAGCTGGATCAGCGCTCACGGACACAAAGTGCTAGCCATGCTCCTGGGGTCAGCCACAGTGCGGGAGGCCTGGCCATGGTGCAGGGCCGCCCGAGGTGCGTGTGGGGATGCAGTGGGATTTGTGCCTCTGAGGTCCGAGCAGCATCTGCAGACTCTACAACACACAGCTCAGGGCCAAGAGCTCCTGAGCCCCGCCCCTTGCCCCCAATTACTTTCTTAGAAGCGTGTAGATGCCCAGCTTCAGCTGTGTGCCCAAAGATCAGCATATAACATCTTCTTACCAGGAAGGCAAGATTTGTGGAGCAATGATGGTATCCGAATATGACCAAAGTAGTTTTAAAAAAGAAACTTTAAATCCTTTGCATTTCATGTTTTTCCAGGCAATGGCAGAAATGACCTCGCTGAGAATAACAACAAAAAATTCCTCTCCCTACTTGGACTCCCGTGCACTGACAGGATAATGACCACACCTGAGCGAGAGTCCTTAAATACTGAAACGGGAAAAAGAGCGACTCTGCCCAATACTGTCAGCCAGTTCCAGAACGACACAGAGGACAGTGCTCGGTGGGAATCCTATGAGTCTGGGGTTCCCCAACCCCCCAGGGCAGCAGCAAAACCCCATTCCCCTCCAAGCCCTGGTTTGAGCCACCCTAAAATGGTCTTGACACAAAGATGAAGACATTTGGCTGGTCATTTTATGTTGGGTTATTTTTACGAGGACATCATTGAACATTTCCATGGGAGACAGAGAAGCCAAAGGCAACATTTCATCCATGACTTTGAAAGATTTATTTCAACACTCAGCTTTCTGGGCTTACTGAAAAAAATCAAATGCAAGATAAAAAACATTAACTCTGTCAATGCTGAGAGACAGCAAGCTTCCCGAGAAAGACCAAGAAAGCATCAGTTTAAGGTCGATTTACGAAGAAGGGCCTGCATGGAGCCAGGAGTTCCAGAAAATGAACCCAGCTCTACGTGGCACCATGCACACACCTGCACTGCCACCTGCCTGAGACACCCCATGTCCCCATTTGTGGAGCATGTCCTTTGGCTCCCCCATCTGGCAGCAGTCCCCACCCTCCCTCTTTGCCAACACCTTGCAGCCACCTGACACACTTGGCTTGCTAGCCACCCCTGGGCTGTGCGGGGCACTCGCCAGCTGACCACTGTCTACAGTGTGAGCAGCCCGCTGGCCCAGCCAGAGCCTTTGTCACAGGTCACACCTCCCAGCTCTTTACTCTCATCCTTTCCTGTGAAGAAACACCGTGGGCCCACAAAAACCCCAAGCAGGGAAGCCAGAGCCACCCTGCTTGAGGGGAACTGTGACATTAATGCCACAGATGTCCATGAGGACACTGTGGAGCCTTGCCTGACACCGAGCGAGTCTCAGTCTAGGTGGTGATGCTGACGCAGTGACCAGACTGCAGTCTGCACATGGGCACGTACTGGAAGGTGCGAGTCAGCCAGAGCCAGGCAGAAACAGGCGCACATGGCAACATCGGGCGCCACCGGGGGGCCAGGCATGTGGAAAGGACACAGGTGTTGCCCAAGTCCCCCAAGGCAGCCGTGACAACTAGGCACTGACCACAGACCCCGTCCACAGACCTAAGGCTTCTACGAGGCCCCAGGATCAGTGAGAGGCCAGAGCTCCTGGGTTCCTGCTTGGTCACTGAGGTTGGGAGGCTGACTGCTGAACGTGCGTGAACAAGAGTAATCGCTCATTCTCCAAAGTCCCAAATGAGGAGAGACGGTGCTCCCGGAGGAAGGGGCCAAGTTCTCCACTGTACTGGTCAGGAGCGGATGGACTGACTGGGAACTCCGGTGGAGTCAGCCGGGGGCACAGGGGCTATCACGGCCTCAGCAGAGGAGGAGGAGGGGCGCCCATGCCTCAAGCTCAGTCTCACCTCTGAAGCCTGAGCCCAGCTCCACAGCACACACCTTCCGGGTACAACTTTCTGCAAGTCCAAAGGGCTGCTTTGAAATGGAACAAAGTTGATGAATGTGCCCCGTTTGCTGGACATCTGACTTTATGGAGCCCTGCTGACTTCGATTCTTCCTAACCCAGCACAGTGCCAGCCTGGAGGAGACACGTGAATACACCCTGACGTATTAGCCCCAGCTTGGAAAGCCCAGGGGCTTGGCCTGGGGGCCACACATGACCCGGCATCCCAGAGCACCCCTTGAGCAGTGACTCGTGGCCTCCAGATTGCTAGGGGTCCCCGACTCAAAAGCAGAGAGAAGCAGCCGGGGGTGAGGAGCAAATGTTCACTTTCCCTTCTGACACCACAGAGCGTCTGCACACGTACAGGTTCACATGCTGCACCTCAGTAATGAGCCAGATCACCCGGCAGGCAGGGACTCTGCTGCCCTGCAGCCACATGCCCCGATTAGGGTCTCCAGGTCAGTGTGGTGTCAGGCAGGCACCCCACCGCAGCATGTGGACCCCAGCCCTGAGGATCTCGGGTGTCACGCTCCAGTTGAGGTCAGATGGCTGACGCATAAGGGCCCATTTTCTTGGCGAGTCATGGTGAGCATTTACTTACTGACATCTTCCCAGGAGCCCAGGGTCAGCCTTCGGGGCCCTTCCCCAGGTGCTGCTGCTGTCTAGCTCCTTGGCCCAGGAGCGGTCCTCTTTGCCCTGGAGAATGGCTGCACGGAGGCCTCGGGCAGGCTGTGCTGTGAACACTTCCTCCCGGCTCTGGGGTCCCACCCGCCCCTTCTCAGGTATCTTCTCAGCAGCCCATCAGTGCCTCCTGCTCCCTCTGCTGGCTTCTGGGCAACAGCACGTCAATTGCAGACGCATCGATTCCAGACAGTAGAACCCAAGCACCTCTGCTTTGGTCAGGACTAGAGAGATCCTCCGATTTCTCCAATTTTCAAGATACAGAGTGAATGGCATGATGGCAGATAGGGGCCAATTGTGTTTTCACAGTTCCGGTGTATTCTTCTGAGGACGTTTCTCAGAACACCCATGCCCCCCACCTTTCCTGGCTCCTCTTGAGGTCCGTGGGCAGGAACAGGCTCCACAGTGCCCAGAAGCCCTCAGGCAGGCTGCGTGAGCCAACTCCGGGCCTGATGCCAGGTCTGTGCCTTCCACAGAGCAGTAGCCGGAGCTGCCAGGACAGGAGGGGAACAGGAGCCCAGCCACACCCCAAGCAGGTGCCCTCCAGGCCCCAGGTCTGTGTGTGCCAAACTCCTGCCACATTTCTGAGTGTGTTCCTCAGAATACTTGTGTTCAGAAACAAAACGCAGCAGCACGTGCCAACACTACACCATGGTCAGATGGTCCATTCCAGAACTAACTCACGAGGTAACTCACCAGGACACTAGCTCAGGGGGAGAAACTTTACCATCTTCTCCACACACGGTCAAAAAGTAGTTAATAAAATTCAAGCCTTCTAGATTTTAAAAACTACAGTAAAACTGGCAGAGAGCAAGAATATCTAAACAAGCAAGAATATCTAGAAACATTATTAATAAAAATGAAGAAGAGGGATTACAATTAAAGTGTTTCAGAGCAGGGGGCACTATCTCAAGACTGGTAATTAAAACAGTGTGGAAGGCCATGTGACAGGACAGGCCAGCCAGTGAATTAAAATATAAGACCCAAACTAGGCCCAAATATGTACAAGAATTTAATATATGAGAGTGGTGATATTTCTTATCAGTAATGGATTAATAGTGTTCTAACAACTAGCGAGACATCTAGGAAAAACTTAGGATGCTTACTTTGTTTGTTATATCAAAATAAAATACAGATGGATCAAAGATTTAAACGAAAAAATGAAGTCACAGAAGTACTAGAAGAACCGAGGAAAAAATTTTTAGAAGTAATACTGGAGTGGGAGGGTCTTTCTAAGTATGACTTTTTCCCCCTAAAAAGAATCTGATAGACTAAAACAGTGGGACTTGACAAATTAGGAAAAATATTTGCAATATGGCAAGGAATGGGTTAATTTCCTCATATTATAAGGGGTTCCTAAAACTCACTAAAATCACGTGATTGAAGACAATGGTGAACCACCTCAGCAGCTGAGACTTGAGAACACAGATAAGCACTGAGGTGCCTTGAGGTCAGGCTTTTTCCAATCAGTGGTGCCAAGCACAGGGGATAACAGAGCAGCAGCCTGGAGCTGGCACAGATGCACAGGGTTGTGCACCAGGAATTAAAAGGGAGGGCTCCCCAGCAGCCAGAACTTGAGGGGCTATGATCCTGGAGAAGAGGGAACTCAGAGAAAGATGCCCATGTTCTGTGTGCAATTCTCCCCTGGGGCACGTGCCAGCCACCAGCTGTGCAGAGTGTCCCACAGAGAGCAGATGCCGAGAAGATGAAAGCTAAGCAGAGAATTTAGCAATCTGACGGTGACAGCACTTAGTTGAGACCCTGGAAGGGCTATACCCTAGGAGTGAGGGGAAACCAGAAACAGATTTGCCTCAACTGGACACAGCCCTTCTGCCCATCTTCTGTTAGCTGGATGGAAGACAACATCGTCCAGAACTTCTACAATTTCTCAAACACAATGTCCACAAACTACCAAGCATGCCAGGTGATGGGACCAAGTGACAGAAAACCAAGAGGCCACAAGGATCAATATAAATAACTGACTATCTGAAACAATAATAATAATGTCTTGTAGGGGTTAAAATGTATGTAAAATTAAAATACATAAAAAGAATAGCATCAAAGCCCAGAGGAGGGTAAATGGAATTAAAATATTGTGGGATACTTGCCTTGTCTGGGAAGTGGTAAAAAAAAACAAATTTACAGTCCTCTAATAAGCCAAGGATCCATATTAAACTGCCTTGTATAAACACTAGAAGAAAAGAACAGAAACGTACAACACCAGCTAATTGAGGAATAAAGAATAAATACTTAAAATGCTTGGTATGTACAAAAGGTAGCAAGAAAGAAAAAACAGATGGGACAAATAAAAAACAAAGGGTAAGATGGAAGCCTTAATCCCTCCAAAATCAGTAATTACATTAACTGTAAATAGTTTTAAATACTTCTATTAACAGACTGGATAAAAACAAAACAAAACAAAACCCAACTATATGCTATTATGCCAAGACACATCTTAAATATAAAGGCATAGAGAGATCAAAAGAGAAAGAATGAAGAAAACTACATTGTGCAAATATAAACCCAAAACAAAGCTAGGTTAGCTACATTATATCAGACAAGGCTGACTTCAAGGAGACTAACACCCCCAAAGACTAAAAAGGGGGCATTTCACAAGAAAAAGGTTCAGTTTAACAAGATATAACAATCTTAAATCTATATGCTCCTAATAACATAGCTTCAAAATAAAAAGCAAAAATTGATAGGAGAAATAAACAAACCTATAATTATAGTGGAAATTATCATTCCTTTCTCATAATGATAAATGAAAAGATTAAAAAGTCAGTAAAAATATATAAAATCTGAAAATCACAGTTAGTAAACTTGACCTAACCAAATATTGGACACTGCATTCAACAACTGCAGACTACACAGCCACTGAACATCCACCAGAGTAGACCATAAGCTAGGCCACAAAGCAAGTCTCAAGAAACGTCCAAGGACTGAAATTCTTTGGTGTGTGTTCTCCAACCACATTGGGATTATGCTTGAAATCAATAAAAGAGATTACTAGGAAATCCCCAAAAGTTTGAAAATCTAAAAAAGCCATGAATGAAAGAAAAAAATAACAATGGAAATTAGAAAGTGTTGTGAATTGAATGATGATCCAATTCTGCAATCTGTAGTTTGTGGTGCAACCCCAATCAAAAGCCAACAGGCTGTTCTGGAGGAAGCTGACAAGCCCATTCTAAAATTTAGTTGGAAATGCAAAGGGCCAACACTAGCAAAGATCATCCTGAAGAAGAGTAAAGTTGGAGGACTTTTACTGCCTGACATCAAGACTCCTTAGAAAGCCACAGCAATCGCAACAGGGCAGCGCTGATACAAGGAGAGACCGACAGACCAGTGACAGAAGAGTCCCTCGTACACAGGTGACTGACGACAACGTTGCCGCTGCAGTGCTGTGGGAAAAGGAGGGTGCTGATCAGCTAGAGAGCCACAGAGAGAACACAGCCTCACCCCCACCTCACACTATCACTTCCAGGTGGAACACAGAACTAAATGTGAAAGGTAAAATAAAAAGCTTCTACAATGTAACACAGGAGACTATCTTCAAGACCTTGGGATAAACAAAAATTTCTTAAGTAGTACATAAAAAGCACCCAGCAAAAGAAAAAGATCAATAAACTGAACTACACTAAAATTAAGAACATCTGTTGATCAAAAGGTGTCATTAAGAAAGTAAAAAGGAAGCCAAGAGTGAGAAAAAACATTTGCAATACATATTTCTGAAGAAAGATATATCTAGAATCTTTTAAAAACTTCCACAGGGCTGGCCCCATGGTGCAGTGGTTAAATTCTGCACGCTCTGCTTCAGCAGCCCAAGTTCACAGGTTCAGATCCCAGGCGTGGACCTCACACTCATCAGCCATGCTGTGGCGGCAACCCACGTACAAAATAGACGAAAGTTGGCACACATGTTAGCTCAGGGCTAATCTTCCTCAGCAAAAAAAAAAAAAAAAAAAAGAAGAGGAAGATTGGCAACAGATATTAGCTCAGGGAGAATCTTCCTCACCAAAAAATAAAAAAATAAAATAAAATAAAAAATTCCACAAATCAGTAAGAAAAAGACAGACAACCCAATAGATAACAAGTGGGCAAGACTTCAAGGCCTTCACCATGGGAGACCCCCCCACAACTATCAGCACATGGAAAGGCACTCAGCATCATTAGTGATCTGGAAATCGCAAACTAAAACCCAAGTGAGGTACCACTAAACACCTGGCGGAAGGGCTAGAATTTGTAGAAGGGACAGTAGATGTAAAAGCAACTGGAATTCTAATATGGTATCTGAGGACCACTTTGGATAACTGGAAAAAGTTTGGCAAAATCTACTAAAGCTGGATGGACATAAACCCAGGACCCAACGATTCCCCACCTAAGTGAATAACCAATGAAGTGCGCACACGTGCACCAGGAGAAGCGTGTGGAGCAGCCCCACACAGGACACAGCCCACTCTGAGTGAACTGTGGCAGAGTCACACAGTGGAACATCACACAGCAGCGAGGCACAGACTGCCTGCTCCACAGTAACAACGGTGAACTCAGATGTGATGCTGGGTAAGGAGGTCAGACACACAACAATACATATCATAAGACTCCCTTTATGCCAACTCGAAAGACAGGCAAAATTATTCCAAAATGTTAGTAGGCAGATGAGCAGTGACCTTTGGGGAGGAAAGCCTGCGAGGTGCTCCAGGGAAGCTTTGGGTGCTGGAATGTTCTATATCTGCCCTGGACAGTGCTTCCATGGCTGGGTTCACTCAGCAAACACTTGCCAAGCTGTACATGAGAATTATGTGCTTTGCTGAATGTATACCATACCGCTAAGAAATTTACCAAATTATATCAATAAGAAAAAGCTCAAGAAGTCCATAAAAGGTGAGCAAAAAGCAGGCAGAGTTCCCAGAAAAGGAAACACAGGGGCTTCTCCACACATTTAGAGACACTTGACGTCGCTCCTGGGAAGCTGAGACTTCCCGCCCTCCGTCTGATGAAGGGAAAGAGGCCCGTGCTCGGCTGTGGAGCGACAGTGGCTGACCTTGACACAGGCACTTGGCGAAAGCCACGTAGTTACACATGCTCACACCCTTTGTTTTTAAGTTTTTATTTATTTATTTATTTATTTTTTCTTTGTGAGGAAGATCGGCCCTGAGCTAACATCTGCCAATCCTCCTCTGCCACATAGTTACACATGCTCACACCCTTTGTTTTTAAGTTTTTATTTATTTATTTATTTATTTTTTCTTTGTGAGGAAGATCGGCCCTGAGCTAACATCTGCCAATCCTCCTCTTTTTGCTGAGTAAGACTGGCCCTGGGTTAACATCCATGCCCATCTTCCTCCACTTTACATGGGACGCCGCCACAGCATGGTTTTTTTGACAAGCAGTGCGTCAGTGTGTGCCCGGGATCCGAACCGGCGAACCCCGGGCCACCGCGGCGGAGCGTGCACACTTAACCACTTGCGCCACCAGGCCAGCCCCTGTTTTTAATTTTTAAAAGCTTCCTACAGATACATTCTCGAATATATCGGAATGCTTGTGTGCACAGATATTCATCGTAGTTTTGTCTGTAACAGCAAGAGACTGGAGAGGTGACTCCACCAGAGACAGACCCCAGTGAGGTAATGGGGGTGGCCTCAAGCAGGAATGGTGATGGCGGAAGAGCATGGAGTGTGCAGTCCACACACGGATAATCCAGTCACCACAAAGACATCCACATGGGGAAAAGCTGTTCAGTATCTGACACTCAGATAAGTTGGTGTGACACCACACACCAAGCCCCCTGGGAACCTCCCTACACACAGCGGTGGCGGCTTGGCTCAGCGTGGCCCAGCAGTGCAAAGACTGCTCACTGTGGCTTAACCCCATGTTTCCCAGACCTACGGGACCAATTACCTTTGTGCTGAGAAACTAGTAACTGGTTCACGGAACCCATCTGAGAACCCCACATCCTCTTCTCCCCAACCCCAGACCAGGTCCGGGTGGGGCCGAGAAGTGCTGAGCAGCACTCACCTGGGAGGAAAGGGCGTTCTTGTGGATTTTCTTATAGATCAGAGCCGGGCAGATGAAGCAGATGAGGCTTCCCATCGTCGCACCGGTGAGGCCCAGGATTGTCTCCACTGGGAACAAGAAGCGACAGGAAGGAGTGAGCGCCAGGAGCGAGCCAGCCTTGCTACTAAGGCTTATCTAGGCATGCCTCTGGAACACCAGTGAGGAGCAGAGGCACACCCTTCTGTGCCCACAAGGACACTTAGGGGTCTCCTAGCTGACATCACGGACAGAGGACACTGTGGGCTCTGTGGGGACTTGGGGCTGCTCCTTTCCCGCTATGGAGTCTTGGGCAAGTTCCCTCCTCTCTGTGCCTCAGGTTCCTCGCCAGTGAAATGGGGCTAACACCACTCCCGCCCTTAGTTGTATGAGCCTAAATAAGGCAGTAGGAGCAAGTGTCTTCCCGTGGAGCCCAGCACAGAGAGAGCCCACTGCTGCTCTGACTCCTCTGCAGCATCTGGGCCTTGGGCACCCGGCAGGGCTACTCGGATGGCTCATCTTACATCACCCCACCTGCTGCTCAGTGAGTGGCTGAGCAGGACCTGTCCTAGGACATGTGTAGAAGCCAGGAGCCTGAAGTGTGGGGGCGCTGGGCTGTTACCTGGAGAGGGCACATGCAGGTTCCACTCAGTATCTGATAACAATAAGCTTTGTCTGTCTGCTGGGAGTAGGACATAAATCTTGCTCAGGGCCCTCACTTTTTCCCTTGATGATGTGTCAACACAAGCAGGAGTCAACAGTAAGGAAGGAGCTGCTTTATAAACACTAATTTCACAAATCAGGCCTGTGTCCCCGCATTGGAGCCTCTGCCCAGGTGTCAACTGCTCAGCTTTCATGTGTGTCTGTGGCTCCATCAAGCTGCTACGTTTTGTCCTATGCCATTCTCAGAGCACCAAAGAAAACATCACGTGACAGTCTCTAGACTTTCTTAGGAGATCAGAGAGGATGGTAGTAAGATTCTGGGTGTCTTGGTTGAACACCAAGACTCGAGGCAGGGATGCCCCTGGGTCCCTGAGTGTAACGGCAAGGATGGGCAGGAACAGGAGGAGGAAAGAGCCAGCAGGAAACCAGTCCCCGGAGCAGCCCTACTTACCGTTTGGGATCAGGATTCCACCAACCATGGTTCCAAACACAATTGAGAGAGTGAGCACTTTAAACCGCAGAGGGGTCATGTAGCCTCCAGCGGCAAAGGTTCCATCTTTTTGCTACATGAAAAAAATAAAAAGGTTTTGAAATGACTGATTTCCTCTACTACTCTACTGTAAGCAAGTCCTTAAGGGGCTCTACCAACACCCCAGGCAGGTGTGGCTGGGAGGCAGGGAGGTGAGGGCTCCCATCACAATCAGATTTGGCTGAGCAACTTTAATGTGAACCTGCAACCCAAATCCTCCAGAGTCCAGGAAGGCACAGGCTGCTCCTCAGATCAGGTAAGGAATGTACATTTTACAACTTCGTTTTGAAATGTTAGTACTAAGTCTTCTGTTTTCCTTTTAGAGCAAGGCCATGAGAGAGATTTTAAAAAGTGCCATGTAGTACAGAAAATAGAACCCAGACACAGCTCCATAGTGACATCCCTGCAGGTTTCAGAGTGCAGCAGGACGCCCTCACCTACACACACACACTCTTCCACACGCACGAGCTTGGCTGTGCCATCCTCATCTCCAGTAGGCGTGTGACACGCAGTCCAGGAAGGAGAAGAGGAGAAGGATACAACGTGGTATAACCAAACCCAAAGTTACTTCACCTCCGTGCCTTGGTTTCCTCATCTGTCAACACGAGGATACTAGAAGCTTCTCGTCATCAGGCTGTGGTGAGGACCAAATGAGGTGATAAGAGTGAAGCTTCTAGAACAGTGCCAGGCACACAGGAGGGGTTCACCGTGATTATAATGCCTGGGCTAGGAAAATACCACTCAAGTGAGGAGGCTTCAGAGCCTTCCAGAACTAGAATTTCAAAGGACCCAATTTCCAGAATAGACTTTTACACAGGCGGCTTTCTTAGGACAGACTGAGGGAGCTGGAGCCAGAATTTCTGGTCGACCTTAGGATGATAACTTGTATACGGTCTAGTGAGGAAGGGTGTTAGGTCTATACCTTTTGACCCAGGAACACCTGCAATAGAAATCTACCCAAGAAATCCTCCAGAGGAGAGGAAGAAGGAGGGAAGCAACGTGCATGGAGGAGGTCGTGAGAGAGTTACCTGTGAGCGGTCAAGAGTGAAAGACCAGCAACAACCAGAGCATCTGACAAGAGGTGAAAGAGCAAGGGTGCAGAGACGCTGTGGGTTTCTACGGCAACATCAACAGAAGCCGAGAGAAAACACAGCAAAAGGAATAGAGACATACACAAATGCCCAGCCGTCCATGCAAGGATGAAGGGAAGTGAATTTTCTTTCTTAGTTCAACATTTCCTGTAATGCCACTATTGATTTTTTAATTAAAAAAATGATAAAAATGTCTTATGTACAGAAACACAAAGGCTTTTCAGGTATAAAGTATATGTTTGCATCAAATAGTGAAAGATGGCAGTCAGCAAGGCTTAACCCCACAGGGCTGAGGTGGGGCCTGGCCACCAAGGAGGACCCCAAGGCCGTAGGAGCTGGCCCTGCCATAGCCCCCCAATGGACAAAGTGCTAAATCATGCCTCGCTTGGTGCCCAGGTACCTGAACCGCTACCGGGGGTGAGGGGGCAAACTGGAGGAGGGAGGGCAGCCAGTGCTTCAGGGCTCAGCCTCTGCTATCAGGTGCTGTCTCTGGTGGCAGAATCCTCAGGAAGCTGCCTCAACCACGTGCTGGCCACCATGGACAGTGAGCCCTGTTCCAGCTGTTCCAGAGGCTCAGGCGGCCTGCCCTCCTGTCTGGCTGTTGGACTCTCCCCTGGAGTCTCTGGGACCACAACCCCTCCCCTGCGCCATGGCCTAAGCAGTTCCAGTGCAACTTGTGTGCCCACCAGGAGTCCTGGCTGATGCCACAGACCAGGCTCAAGGACCTCAGGCTGGGGACACAAGACACCACTATAGAGAAAAGCCACGGGTCCGTGGGCTCCCAAGACTGGCGTCCTTGGGCATGCGCTAGTCCACGTGTGCTTTCTGTTGTTAGCTCGGGAACAGTTAGAGAGCCAGGGGATTCTGGTTCTACCTCGTACATTTGAAAACTTTCCATAAAGGACCACACAGTGCTGTGCCTGCACACACGACAGTGAATGAAACTCAGCCTCTTATAGCTCAGACGTCTGTTGTCAAATTGCTAAAATTTTCAGTTACACAAACATAAAGAGAATAGCACACTGACCCCAGTGCTCATCTGCGGACCTGGCTCCTCCACATTCCCACCCACTCCTCCCCCAACAGGACCGCTTTGAAGAAAGCCCCCGATTTCCAGCTACTTCTCTGATTTGGGGAAACAGCAGCGTAGCTGGGAAGTCACAGGAGACAGGCCTAACCTGTGTGGACACTGGCCTGAGCCCACGTCTCCCATCTGAATCGATCCCTGTCTGTTCTGGTGCTGTCTCTTTTCCCCAAAGTTGGTTTAAAAAAAAAAAACCCCTATTAAGAGATTTCACTTTAGCTGAAGTTTTTTTGTTGTTTATTAGAAAAAGCTCTACCTACCACAGCCCAGGAAGATAAAGAACTAGCAAAAGCCAAGAGAAGAAAATATAACTGGGATCACAGCAAAACGGCATCTGAAGGGCCTCGAGAACCTTACCTGCTGCTCGAAAAGCAGCGTGTTCAAGGCCTGTCTGCAGGGCAGGATCATCATGGGGAAGCCCACGGCCACCGACATCATGAAGCCCACTCGGATCATCTCGGTCACCAGGTTGGAGGGGAAGTGCATCAGCACATTGCCCACGATGGCCTCAGTGAAGCTCACATAGCCAAAAAACCCCACCTGTGGGACGACGAGAGCAGAGGGCACGTGTGGTGGGGCCGCACCCTCCCCTGCGAACAGCCTGCGAGCCACTTCCCAAGCAGCTTCAGCAAGACCAAAGCCCCGTGAGACTCCTCCCTTATAAAATTTCCTGATGAGTAGAAGGATAAATGCCTACAGGTGAGAGTCTGATAACGGCTTTTCACGAGGACAACAGGGCACCAAGAAAATGGAGCTCCCTGCACGAAAAGGAAGGAGCCAGAATACCCCACGAACCCACATACAGAGGGGTCGACCTCAATCTGGTTTCAAAATCCGAACTAGAGAACCATGGGGTAAGCTGTGGTTCCCTGTGTACTGAGACACAGTGTCGACAACAATGTGCACAGACCATTTGTAAAAACTGACAAGAATGCTGAAACCATGAAGTTCAGAGAAACAAGCTATAATCTTAGTGTATTTCTAATTTTACTTGCAATGTAAAAACACTAACAAACAGGAGCATTAAGACTGGAAGAAAATTCTATCAAGACATGAGCTGTAATTGCACCTGTGGGCTGGGACTTGCACTCATCCTCCTCTGCTACCACACTTTCCACCCCCGGTAAGAGACACACCCTCTTTCTATAGTGAATCAGCAAAGGTCTTGGAGAGGCCAGAAGAAGAGGCTCCCAGTGAGTGCGACCTGGGGGCAGCCCTGTGCTGAGGCGCCCGTGCTCCTCCTGGGATGTAGGGCAGAATCGGGCTCATGGGTCAGCCTGGAGCTGACTTGAGGAGCAAGCTAACCTCGGGCACTGAGCACTGGGATGGGAAAGAAGGGAAGGGTAGGCCTATACGGAGTCAAGGGCTCAGTCCATTCCTGGGGCACTGTAAGGAGCTGGAGGGAGGCAGCATCACGCCGGGCACTGCCGCCTATGACATAGGGGAGGAGAGCAGGGTGTGAAAGGGTCCTACCGTGACGTAGAAAGTAGTGACCACGTTGAGGGAGGAGGCAAATATGGAGCTCATGGTTTTCACTGACGGCTCATCCAGGCTGTCGTAGGTGGGCAGAACCTGGCTGTATAAAAACAATCGACTTCACAAAGCAGATTCCAGAGAGAGACACATCCTCCACCCGCTGTGCTAGTTTCCAGGTCCCCAGCCAACAGTCTCTGACACCTTGCTTCCCACCACACTGGCCACCATGGTAACTCAGCACTGAGGCCAAGATTTTGCAGTCCAACAGACGGCAGAGTGCAGCAGTATGCACTCAAACATTTCACAAGTGCCACAGAATGAAAGACCGCTTATCTCACTGAAGCGGGAGTGTGACCGCTCCAGGGAGCACTGCACTGGGCTGAAGCAGCCCATGTTTACAGGAGAAGCAGGAAGCGGTTCAGAGCATCGCTGTCAAAAGAATGGAAAGTTAAACAAACAGAAGCCGGCCAGGCTGCCCGCCTATCTCAGCGCCTCAGCGTGGGCGGTCAAAGCTGACATGGACAGGAGACAGTCTGCAGCCATCTCTGCCGCCATTGCCAGAGGGCAGAGGTTGCCCATGGACAGCTGCCCTCCCCTGGGCCCGAATGGAAGGTGCCAGGTGGCCACATGACCATGCAGCCCAGGGAGGTGGCAGAGGACCTGCAGGGGAAACAGCACAAACGTGTGGGTGCCGACCAGCTCCTCAGCTAGGAGTGGGGTCCACACCAGTGAGCCTCAGCTTGTGGGAGCAGCATTGTATCCCAGGACAGGGCCTTCACCCCAACTGCCAGTACACACCAGAAGTCTCCGCCCCAGGAGCTTCAGGTAGCATGGGGAGTGGGCTATGACCAGCACACGGGGTGGACAAGTGTGGAAAGGCTGAGGCACTGGCCCCCCTCCAATCCTGCCCACACCCCAGGGACCCCTGATGGCAGGAGCCATAGACCCCCACGGTGACCATAGAGCATTTGTAGACCACCCATCTCGCTAAGCGGGCCCCATGACTCAGTTTACCTAAGTCAGGCAGAGCTTTCTCTGTGCAGCCCCAGACTCGCTCTTTGCCTGCCCCACTGCACAGACCCAAGCCCCTCTGTGCTCAGTGCTCTGGAGGCCGCTCCTTGAGGCCGCAGGGCCTGGTGCTTCTGCATCAGAAAGTACTCATTTACCATGAAGTAAGACCAGAGGGCCAGACAGAGAAGGCAAAGCAGAGGCCTGGCCCATCCCGGCAACGAGGAGACCAGTCACACAGACGGGGCCTGGCGGTCACCTAGCAAGGGCAGGCAGGAGCCCTGCCCTGCATGTGCTCCAATACAGGGTGCCCTGGGATGGGGAGGTCCACCAACGGGCTGTACAACTCTGTCGACCCCTCGCCAGCTGCTCATGAGGAGAATGTGGGCGTATCTGCAGGCCCAATGCACCTCTGTGAGCAGCAGAACAAGACGTGTGCTCACAACCCTTCTGGAACCTATAATTTGATCTAAGAACCAAACCCAATAGATGTGCGCTGGCTTCTACGTGGCTACCACCAAAAAACCCCAACCATGGATTTGTTTTGTTTTGTTTTGTTTGCGAGGAAGATGGGCCCTGAGCTAACATCTGCCAATCCTCTTCTTTTTGCTGAGGAAGACTGGCCCTGGGCTAACATCCATGCCCATCTTCCTCTACTTTATATGGGATGCCACCACAGCATGGTTTGCCAAGCGGTGCGTCGGTGTGCGCCCGGGATCCGAACCGGCGAACCCCGGGCCGCCGCAGTGGAGTGCGCGCATTTAACTGCTTGCGCCACCGGGCTGGCCCCAACCATGGATCTATTTTTAAAAAAGCAACTCACAGACGAAAAGGATAGTGGGTAACTAGGTACAAGGTAAAAGAGCAGAACTTCCTTCACCGATTATAATGGGGACACTAAACAGCAAGAGTGGAGCATGTTCTGGTGGAAACCGAGCTGTCAAGAGAGATGGTAAGAGGGAAATGAGGATCTGGATCTCACATGTGGGTGTAAACACAACAGACGAACAAATTTATCTGTCACATTAGTTTACGATTGGCACCATCTACGCCCACTAGAGCTACGAGGGGGCCTGCTCTGCCAGCCCCTGGTACACTGATGGTCTTTTCCTGTCCCTGACGGATTTACGCCTCTCTTGAGTGGGTTACCGTTTTGACCGGGCACAAATCACTGGCTCTTGTCATTTTGGTGGCAAAGGTAATGCTGCTGGAATTTTGGAAATAGCCTGATCTGCATTTACAGGGCTCCGATTGCCAGAGAGAAGGCACACGCACACGCGCGCACACACACGCGCCTCTGAAAGCGTCCCAGTGGCAGTCTCAAGTCAATGTTTATGCAATTTCTTTTAAATATTCTCACACGAACAGCTAAATCCTGGCAAAGTGCTCGGGACTCTGTGAATCAGATGGTTTGGGGCTGTTCTGCATTCCCTCAGCCAGCCCTTCTCGCGGGCGATTTGGCAAACTGGGCGCTCTCACCAGCAGTGCCGGCAGCACATCTCAGGAATAAAGTCAATTTCTCTCTCCATGAAAACATAGCTATCTCCTTCAACTTGGAGGGGGAAAGGTCACAGCTAAACAAGACATGACTCTTCCATGGGCTGCATCATCCAGTTAAACAAAATGAATGATTCTCGTCTCCCTGCACCGTGCCTCTACCACATGAAATACACTCCCGCATGAAACACACTCGCGCTCGGGGCCCCCCTGGGAGCAGGCAGTACTTACGACTGGCAGGCAAAAGACATGCCAAAGATGGGGATGCAGCGGAAGATGCCCTCCCAGCGGATGTAGCTGACCCGCTGCAGCCACTGCCCCCCAAAGAGGCCGTGCTTGAGAGAGGAGAGCACAATCTGCACAAGAGAAGACAGAGAGCTCAAGGACCAGTCAGCAAACACAGCTGGGACTCAGGACCCTGGGCCTCAGGCAGGGCAAGAGGCGGGAGGAGGGCGTGCAGCTCGCCCGCTCCACATCTCGGCCATGGGCTCTGCTGCAGGGCAGCCTGGTGCTGCCAGCTGGAGGGGCTGGGGGTCCCACACCTTCCCAGGCTCACTGCCTCTGCTGTGCCACGACCTGGCCGGGCACTGCCAGGAGAAGCACTGGCCTTGGGGCTTTCCCGGCCCTCGGGGGCAGCTACCCAGGCAGGGGCCACTTAGCGCAGACAGGAAGCAGTGAGGCCCGCCCACTGTGCCCACCCCAGCTGCCTCAGGTGACAGGACAGTCCCCCCAAATTGGGCAGGTCCTTCCCCGGTCCCACACGGACATGTTTTAAAAGACAAACCCAGTGAGGATGGGGCTGTCTGGAGTGCAGGGGTAACCATCACCGGGCTGGCCCCACCCAGTGCTCAGCCTGCCAAGGAAAACCTATTGCAAAGATTTCCAGGTTCCGTTCCCTCAGGAATGATCATTGCTGACCATCCCAGTGGATGGGCAGGTCCGGGGGCTCAGGTCCCAGGGGGCTCCCAGTGGGAGGCCCCCAAGCACTCAGCAAGAAATGAACGTCCTGAGCATCAACTCCACACTGGATCCTCCCGTCTAGTCGGTTATAAACATTCATTTAGAAAACAAATTGCCCCCTTGCGACGAAATGCTGGCATCATGACTCCTGGTCACAAATCCTACATAAAAAGTCTTTCTGTAAAATGAGGACTGTTCGTACTTTCATTTCCCAGAGAACCGGTCACGGGCCCCTGCCCTGGAGCCCTCCCTTCTCCTGCTGTCGACAGCATCTGAGTCCAGGCAGCCCCGTCTGTCCACCGGGGCTCATACAGATACATTCTAACATCACTTGCCAGGCTTTTAGCCACTTTCCTGTCATACCCAGGACACAGTTGGCAGCCAGACCACATCCGTGAGTGCCCAACACTCACCACAAACATGAAGACGGTGTAGAAGATGAGGGCCATGGCGCTGAAGGACTGGATGGAGGCCATCATGTTCCTCTGCAGGCTGAGTGGGAGCACAATGCACAGGGACACCACGAAGAGCAGGAGCACACGGAAGGTGCCGGTCACCTGGAGGGAGCCGAGTGCATGCTGGGCAGGCATCACCCTAGTAAACCCCATGCCTCCAACCTGCACGCCCAGAATGCACCCCAGGGCATAAGGAACCTTCCCCTAATGACAATGCTGATCTGAGATGTGGACTTACAGAAAGGTCACACTGAGGTGCCATACAGGCAGCCACAAGTGTTCCAAAAGACCAGAGGCTTGAAAATGTCCTTACCTGAAACCCAAACAGCCGAGCAAAGAAGTTGGACCCCAAGTCGCCAATCACAACGTAGAAGGCAGCACAAGTTCCCAGCATCAGCCCGATCATGCTACAGAGAAAAAAGTCCTGGGTTTGAAACGGAATTTTAACAGGAGTCCACTGTCTATCACGATCAAGGCTGGCCCCCTTAGCCAAGTATCCACCTCAGGCCTTGTCTGTGGTCCCGGGAGGAAGCCCCGGACACCGAGCCCCATCCCCGTGGGATCACTGCTGACACATGGCGACCCAAAGGCTGGATGCGATTTTGAACGTTCAACAGTTTACCGGACTCAGGTATGTTTCGTGGAGTTCGCTATTTTACTTGGAATGAATACTGAATAACACTAAACTTTTCTTTATGTGATACTATATTCTTCTCTCCACAGGAGGTTCTAAAAGTTCTTTCAGGTGCTACTAAAATGCACTGTGATGTTAAGACAAGTTAAAAGAACAACCAACTGCTTTCAAAAAGGGTCGTTCTTTTGAATTTACAATTCCCTAATTTAGAAGCCCAAAAGTGCAATTTCCCAGCAATTTTTTCATCTCATAAAATTTTACTCCAAAGGGAGAAAAACATGACATTCCAATTTAATGCCACCTTTATGCAATAGCGTCGGTGGGGGTGGTGCATACAAGTTTCGGGAACAGTGCTGAGAGATTAACTACAATGGAGGGAATGCTATTTTGCTGTGTTCCTCAAGTTTTCCATTTTTATATTTTTCTTAGTAAGACAAATAAGCCTTTCAATCTCAACACTAATCATTTTAGGCTTACAATAAATTGAACTTTCAACTATTTAGTAACTCTTCAGAAACATATTATAAGTTATAATCTAATCCACATCTGAAACATATCGTTCCTTTTGTAGCAATCCTCTAGTTTCTCTTTAGCTACAGGTGAAGAATAGAGAGAATAATACCAAGCACAGTTGCACCATCTACCTGGTCTCCACCAGCATCTTCCCTGCTTTTCCGTAGGCGTGCAACGCTAGTGCAAAAGAAAGAAGAATTAGTGCTCAACCCAACAGCGTGAGAAGACATCAGGGAACGTTGTGAAGGGCAATCTGACAAAAATCCACTGCTCTGGAGTTTCATGGGCAGGAGGGGATTTTTTTAATTTTGGTCTCAGATCTAGCATCAACAAATGACAAGCACAGAAAACAAGAACAAAGTAAGGGAAAGACACAGGCAAGGTGGTTTTTTTCACTCAAAAAAAAAAAAAAAGAACCATCTCCAGGAAGTAGCAGTTTCCCCGCATGGCAGCCGTGGAGGAGGCCTGGCAGCAGTGGAGGAGGCCGGCCGGGAGCAGAGGCTGGGCCTACACAGGCGCCCATCTGGGCCAGAGCTGAGAGGTGCCCTGGAGGGCTCGCACAGCGCCAGCCCAGCACACCCAGTTTTCACAGCCCGCACCAAAGGGATTTGGCTAAGGGTTCACTCTTTGTGATTTCAGAAGAAAATTTAGAGAATGCTTTCAAGTGTAGCACTTCGGGACAGGAGGGGACAAGCGCTCTCGGGCCTGCTCTCTTTCAAGGAAGACAATCAAGGAACCGCCGCACTGGTGAACAGCACGTCCTACAGCAGAGAGGAGGCACCCATCCTTCCTTCCTGACAACAAAATTGCTTCTAGCAGATGAGAGATTAAGAGCCGACTCAGCAAGGCCCCTCCCAGACCTAACAGGGGTCCAGTAACCCCTGTGTCCCCCACCAAAGTCCAGCCGGACAAGGGCAGAGGGAAGTTGCAGTCTCCCAGGACAGGTGCATGTGACAGGACAGCTCCAGCTTCCTGCCCCTTGTTCCTCCCTCACATGGGGCCAGGGCCCTCCGAGGAGATTTGGAAAGCAGGAAACCAGCAGGCAGTTGGTGTGAATGAGTCCGAAAGACACTCATTGTTATTTTCATATTACTTAGGAAGAGGCACAGCGTGGCCAAAACCTAGAGAGCCTGGCATCCGACTCAGGCTACACCAGCTATGAACGGGCAGACGGCCCATGAGACACACAGGCTTCCGCCATGGGGGTCACTCCGGTGTTCCCTGTCTTGTCTGACTACTGGACGGTGACTCGCATCTCAGGTTCATCTAATAACGCCCATTTGTATCACAGAGCAATCTGAATCTGAGACAGATCCTTGCATAGCATGCTGATCAAGGTCAAGCTGAGAATTTCCAAACTAAGAACTCCAGACAGCAGATGGCAGCCCAAGGCCATGCTGTCACCAAAAAGAGGCCCTCCAACCCTCTCAACGACAGTGGTTGGGCAGCAGGCCCATGGACACAACACAAAAACCCAGTGCCCCGAACGTGGAGGTGGCTGCACTCCGGGCTATCCCATTCCTTTTCCTTCTCCAAAAGTAAGCTGAGCATCTACAGCATATTTCAAATGCTCAGAGCACCCCGCCATCCTGAACATACCTGCATCCCAGACAGAGAGGAAATGGAAGGCACTCTAGGAGGTCAGAGGACAAGTCGGGAGGTGGCACTCTTCAGCCAGAAAGACTCAAATGGTTCCCAGGACAATATCCTAATGGGGCTGCCCCCAAGGTGCTGCCTGCACTGAGGGCCTGGTGTTCCAGCCTCCTCGCTCTCCCCACTTTCTTCACCTGGGCCAGGCTCACACACACTCCCCCACAAGCACACACCACACACACCACATCACCCCACAAACATACCACACACACACACACACACACACACACACCATTTCAAGTGTCGATCCCTCAACAAGCTCTAACCCTGAGTCTCAAATACAAATGCCCGGTAGCCCCCCACCCCTTAGCCTCCCACCTGGCATGGCACCGGGAGGGTGGAAGGGGCCCAGGACCGCCTTCCTGCCCCTCTAGGGTGGAACCACAGTGCCAGACCAGCCCCGTGAGGCTGGGAGGCGTCTGCGAGAATGGTTTCTGAGCAAGCACACCTCAATGTGGACCAGACAGCCCTAGCTCAGGCTTTCTTCCTCCATCTGTGATGGGCACTCTGCAGCTAACAGGCTGGGCGTCATTGGGACGAGGAGCAAGCGCGGCCCCGACACTGGTCTAAGCAGTTAGACTGTTGTCCTGTGCGGGCCGGGACTGGCGTCAGGAGGGGCTCTCCAGTCTTTCCCACCTGACTGCCCCATGTCTTTCCCTGGGGATGCTAGGCAGCAGCTGCCCTGGGCCCTGAAACGCTGGGTCAGCTTCTCCTCCCAGGGCCACAGCCTGGCCCATGGCTCTGCAGCTGCGTGGACGCAGAGCTGACCCTCAGCCCACCACGTTCAGTGCAGGACTGCGGCCCCACCCCCACACTCTCCACCCGCCGCCCAAAGTCTCCTGCTTGCCGACACCCAGCAGCATCAGGTCAGAGATGGGGGTGCATGCTGATCAAGACGAGCGGCGAGCTCAACCCAGCCAGCCCCGGAGGCGGGTAAACGAGGGCAGGGAGGGTGTAAAACGCCCAGGTGTCAGAAAGCTTGCTTTTAGAGCCCTCATTTCCCAAGCCAAGTATCCACATGTGCAGGTCACACGTCCAAGGACAGGCAGGGAGAAAATTGGCTGGACAGGCCCTCTGCAGGCCCCATCCCGGGCCCAGGGGTGGGTGGCAGGCTGACCAGGGCCACAGAAACCTGGACAATCGGATAACAGGATCATAGACACAGCACTGGAAGCATCCACTGCTCATACCTGAGAACGCAGAGCCACACTCTCGACAGTGCAGGGTGTGGGGCTCACAGCAGCCTCATGGGGGGCAAGACCACTAAAGGAGGCTGAGTAGCTGGCATATCTGTATACTTTCTAAAAATGGGGTTTAGAAAAGTCTACGTGAAAGTAGGACACGCAGGGTGAGGGAGCAGCAGGTAAGAAGTGGATAAAATTCACAAAAAATAGCCCACAAGCAGCAAACAAAACACCACAAAAACACACAAATAACACCAACAAAAAATCCACGGGTGCTGTAACTCCCCAGACTGGCAAAGTTCATTTTCCAGCAGATGCCTCCACACTGGCCATGGCAGAGGGGCCAGCATGTGATCACTGCCAGTGGGTAACCAAACTGACACCCCACTGCAAGCTCAAACTCGAGGCTCAGCATGGCATCACTCGGAGAAAACCGCCCACCCTTGTGGAGCGAGTGCAGTTTAAACAGGCTATTTGTTCAAGCTATGCCTGCCACTCCGGGAATTTCCGCACCCTCCCCTGCACTGTCTCCAGGTCTGGACGAAGGCCATCTGTCCATCTCCTTGCCCACAGCTGCCCAATGCCCACAGATCCAGGAGATGACACACGTTGGAGGGGTCTGCTGACAAAGGCCGTCTGTCCCCGCCTGGTGGCAGTGGGATGCAAGGGGAGCTCTCCTCTTGGGCCACCCACTCTGGCTGCAGCACAAGCTCACAGTGGCATCTCTCACCCAGGAGAAGGCAGAAGATGGGGAGAGAGGCCCTTTTGGTAGGTCTCTGCATGCAAGCAGCAGGAGACAGCCTAGGTGTGGGCAGGCTGCTGACCCATGGGGTCCGAGAAAGATTCTCATCTCCTCCTGTCTAGGGCTCCTTTCCAAGTGGTGGGTCTCTCCATTTCTGAGAGATGGTGCCAAGATGGAGCCAGGACAAAGGGCAGCTGAGGCTGCAGCCTGGGCCCTGGGGGGCTCTGGGAGCTCACACAGCTGAGCCATCTCATTTGGTACCAAAGACACAACGGGAGACAGCCAGTGGTTTCAAATCTCTTTTGCTCCTAGCAGTTAGAACTGGCTGCAGTCAGCCAAGCAGTGAAAGGTAGGACCCTGGCAGCTCTTGACCCGGCAGCCATGTAGAAGGGCGTCTGTCCATGGGGCAATTTTCTTTCAGTTGTTCACATCTAGCCAAACCGGTTTGCCTTCTCAGGGACTTTCTAAGAAGAATCAGACAGCTGTCAAAACCCATGGCCTCCCCACTCTAGGGTCACAGCCAAGCACTTCATGGGGTGTCTGCTACAGAGACCCTGAAGGCCACGGCCCACCCACAGAGGAAGGGGCTGCTCGGAGCACAATTCATCAAGCTGAATTAGGTCGCCTCCCCATGGGTCAAGTACAGCTGGTCAATCTTGCTTCCTCAAGGGACTCCGACAACAGTAAAAGAGCCTGACAGCACCCTTCTCACTGGAAAGGAAAGAGAAGGAAGCACCCCTTCAGTCCTGAGGTCAGAACAATGCTAGTGTGTCAGTGTCAATGCCAAACAGACAGACTGGAAGGAAACCCAAGGCGATGCGGCCAGAAGCCCCTGCGTGGATCCTGCAGATGGGTTTATTTTGTTTGGCCCCTGCAACTCTGCACGCCGTTTCCTCTCACCACCTCCTCTCTGCCACCAGAGCTGTGAACTGAGGGCCTTGCCAGGCCCTCCTCAGGCGGACTGCATCGCGGCCACACACTAGCTGGGGGGTTGGGGGCTTTCACCCGGAGGCCAGGAATTCTCCCTAGACCCACAAAGGACCAGCTCCTGAGAACACGTGTTGGTATTTCAACACCCACGCAGAGAGCTGAAAGGTCCCGAGGCAGACAGAGGGAATGCCGTCTTCACACAGCAGCCTGAGGGCGGCAGGCAAGTGAGGGACCCTGTCCTCAGAGCCACGCTGCCTAGGAAAGATCCAAACTGAAAGGAAGCTGAAGGCACAGCCTCCTCTCCCTCAGTCCAAATCAAAGGAAGCAAGAAAGAACGAACGGAAACAAAACTGCAACCAACAGCGTCAGGAAACACAGAAGGCTGCCGGGGGATGGGTGACTTGACTCCAGCTACAAGCCTGGCCCAGGACAGTCTCTGCCACAGCATTCAAAGTAGAGGAAGTGCAGCAAGGCCCCCGTCGGGCGGCTCCAAGGGCTCTGGGTACTCAGGAGGAGGGGACAGCAAGCAGGGGGAGCTGCTGATTCTACCCAAATGTGGAACGGGAGACTCTCTGTGTGCATGTGCTTAAAGGGGAGACAGGAGACCAAGTATCTCCTCAATTTTGAAGCACACGTTTATATTAACATTTTCTAAAAATTGCATTAAGTTTTACAACAAGAAAAAAATCCTGCTGGTCAAGGAACTCTTTAAGAATAAAGTGGAAGAAAAGTAAATAAACAATGGAGTAAGGCCCCGGCCCCCAGACCTAGGACGCTGCCCTTCTAAAGAGGCTGCTAGAGATGTCCAGCCGCCTCCTCGAGAGCCGACATTCTCACCCAGGCCAGCGTAGGTTCTCCGTTTGCTCAGGCTGGCAGATTTCACCAAGAACATGCAGGACTGGTGTGTCATCCACGAACAGAAAACCAAGAGCAGGGCCCCCAGGACGATGCCACACTAGAGAGTTGAAAGAAAATGAGAAGTTGACAAAATAAACCACTCGGGTGTCTGTACCTCACACACTGACCAGCATGTGTGTGGCTTAAGACAGCCCTCCCCACTTCCCTGCCTCTTGTGGACACATGGCCCTGCCTAAGGGTGACAATTCCTAGCATTGAAAGGGACCAATTTCCTGGATGTGGTGGCCACACGCTTTGTCCCAGGGCCTTAAACATGTGCCTGATCCTGAAAGAGCATCAGGAACACCACTTCCCTCCTGGCCCTTCCAAGAGTCCTATGAACACCAGGGTGCTGCCAACAACTAGTCTCCCCAGATCTCTGCATGCACCCTACAGGGTACCACCTTCTAGCCACTTGTATCAACAGCTACAAGTGAACACATTCCAGAAGGAAGAGATTAAAAATGACATTTATGCCTTTCTAATAAGTTAAACAGACACTCACCATCTGACCCAGCAACTGCACTCCTAGGTATTTACCCAAGAGAAATGAAAACATGTGTTCATGCAAAAACCTGCATGCCAATGTTTATAGCAGGTTTATCCATAATCCCAAAACTGAAGAAACAACCCAAATGTCCTACTAGTTTCTATTAGAGCTGAACGTGCACATATCGTAGGATCCAGGTATTCTCCTCAAAGGTAAATACCCCACAGAAATGCATATGTGTGGTCAGAGCCCGTGCATATGTGTTCATAAGAGCTCTAAATGGGAAATTGTGTGCCAACAAAAAGAATAAGTACATTGTAGCACGTCCACACAATGAATACCCAGACACGAAACACAAAACACATACACATACAGTATGACTCCATTTACACCAAGTTAAAAATCAGGAAACACCAATCTATGGGGCTAGAGCTGGGATGTGGACCCTTTGGGATGAAGGCAGGGACTGGAGGGCTGTGGCAATGCTGTGCTCCTTAATGTGGGAGCTGGTTACATGCGTTTGTTGACTTTGTGAAAACTCATCAAAAGTATACCTCAAATGTGTGTGCTTTTCTGTATGCATGTTATACTTCAATAAAATGTGAGCATTTTCCTTAACTACCAAAATTACTAAAACCAAACAAACAAAAAACCCAAAACCGAAACTTTTTTTAAACGACATGGCTGCCAGACACTAAAAACACACATCCCCAAAGTGCCCATTGGCCTCATGCTGTGCTCTAGCAGACGGGCTTCCCGTGGATTAGATGCTGAGTCCACGCGGGAGTGGCCGTCCCATCTCTGCCAGGCCCTCGGGACAGGGTGAACTGCTTCCAGTTCTCTGCTTGCACGCGGGCCTCCACCACGAAGCTCTTCCCGGGCAAGTCGGTGCGGCCCCTGTTTAAATGCTCTGGCAGGGGCCTCGTGCCCACACAGCAGACACTCAGTCTGCGGACAGTCGAATCCCCGGGCCTGAAAGCACATTTCACAGGCGTCCACACCACAGCCCTGCCGCGGTGGCACTTCCCAGATGAGCATCTGGGACGGCAGCGTCGGACTCTCAGATGCACAACCGGCGAACTACACATTCCAGGATGCAGTTCTGTGCCAAGCCAGCCGCAATGCACCCTGGGACACGTAGTCCTTGCCGAAGTACCCAGAAGCGGCCGCGCTCGCTGGGATTCGCAATGCCCAGATACAGATGTTGCCCCGGGGGCTCTACAAGCCGCTCGCGTGGCCTCTCACAATTGCCAGCAGGGTCCCTGTCCTCCCGCCGACATGCTCACCAACCAAGTCAGATCAACGACTCACACGGGAACCCTAAACGCATTCTCATCCAGGGGCTGGAGGGCTCTATGTGAGGGAGTGAAAATTCTAAGATTAAAAAAATTTTTTTTGCTATTTTTATCCAAAAGACGCTAAATATGAAAAATGAAAAGTGTCTGTTAATCTAAAATTAAACTACTAGTGCCCATTGTCAGTTTCCGAAATGTCCATCTTATTTTCATTCTTCTATCTACTTGGTTTCACCATGTAAGACTGGTCTTTGCAGCCTTACGGCCACCTGCCCTGCCCCAGCGTCCCCCCCCAATCCCCCTCAAGGGAGCCAGTTCTCGGGTGGCAGCTCCTGCCCACGGGGCGGGGGAACAGCAACCGGAAGCTGACAAGTTCACTGTTAGGAAAGAAGTTACCAATTTGATAATTCCATCAACCTCCCTTTTTTAAAGTACCGAAAGCCGGTTTATTTGCGGACCATTTAAACAGAAGCCTAACGAATCCACATCTCAGAAGCGTGACTTTCTTCCAGGCGGTATTTAATGTTGGCACGACACCAAACCTTTAATATCTCAGATTTTTCAATTGGGGTGACATATGCACACGGTGAGCCGCGCAGATCCTAATGCAGATCCAATCTGGCGAATTTCATGATCACTTTGTCACCAGCGCCCCGACCCAGTCCCAGGGCTTGAGTCGCGTGCTTCTGCAGACAGTGCAGCCGGGTCGGGGGTTAAATAGTAATAATAAGAAAACAACACTGAACCCTGCAGTCACTTTCCGTCTTCGGAAGGGCACTTTTCTCTGCGCACCTCGCGCCCGGGTCTGGAGTCGGGAATCGTGCGGAGCCGCCGGCCTTCCAGGGGGTCCTCGGGTCTCCCCTGCAGACCCCCGGCGGCGGACCCGCGCCTCCACCCGCTGGTTCCGCCCGGCCCGGGGAGCAGAGGCTGTGCGCCGGGAGAGCCGGGCAGCGAGGGCGGCGGCCGCTGCCCGCTGGACTCACCTGTTTGAAGCAGAAGGGCATGGTGAGGACACTGACCCCTACTATGCTGTTCACTATGTTGGTGATCAGGCCCCAGTTGGAGGCGGCGGCCGCAGTCATAGCGCAGGGTCTAGGGCCCGGGAGCCCGGGTCCGAGGCGCCGGGACGACGGCGGGGCGCGAGACCCTGAGGGGTACGGGTAGCTGCCTGGAGAAGGCGGGAAGACGGTGGGGGCAGTCAACCTCCAGACTCCGCCAGGCTCTGCGGCCGCCTCATGGCTTCGTCCTCCGCTGGCTCTCGCCGGCCGCCTCTGTGTCCCCGCGCCCAGACCCGGAAGAGCCGCCAGGTGCCAACCAGGGATATCTCAGCCCGGCTTCGCGGCCACCCTAGCGCGCGCACTTCCGCCTTCCGCGGGCTCCTCTGCCCGGAAATGACGACGAGGGGGCGGGGCTCGGCGGGGCGCGCACCCACGAGAGGCGGGCCTGGACATGCCGGCGGGGTCGTGAGGGGAAGGTGAGGAGTGATGGGGCGGGGCCTGGCAGGGGGCGGGGCCATTCGGAGGCGTGGCCAGGCGAGGCGGGCCTCGGCGGGGAGCGAACTAATAAAGGCGGGGGCGGGGCTCGTCCTGGGGGCGGGACCTGTGAGGGGGCGGGGCCTGCCCGCTGGGAGGGCGGGGCTACGGCCTGGGGGCGGGGAGGGGCCGCCCTGCATCCCCGCTGGGCCCGGCCCTGCGGCTTCTCTGAGCCGTGCGCCGCTTTCCGCTCAGCCCCAGGTGCAACTCGGCGACCCCGCGTGACTTCCCACGTTGTGGCCCAGACGAGCCTTTCAACTCCGCCTCCAGAACAAGGCGCCGGGAGGCCCACCCCACCCCACTGGGACCCTGCCCTGCCCTGCCCCGCCCCCAGTGCGCCGACGGGAGACGCCCGAGCCTCTCCCCGTCGCACCGGACAGGGAGGTGGCAGAATGACACCATGTGTGGCTGTGATGACACGGGTGCGACTGTCATCAGTCGGCTCTGGGGACGCGACTAGGCCCACGTGAAACACGCACGCACCCGTTTCCCCGTACGGATCAGGGGACGTTCGCAGAGAAGTCTAGCGGACACGGTCAGAACGTCCCTTCGCAGTATTCTGTAACCTGCACTCCTCGAGAAGCCTCACGTCCATCAGTGGGAGGTGGTTGAGTAATTTAAGACACCCGCTCTCCGCCAGTTAAAACCCCGCTGCTGACAGGGAGGACTGCGGAGTTGTGAAGTTTATTAGACACACAGAACGAGACACAGGGCACCAGTCCCGAACTTCCAAAATGACGGGGAGACAGCACGCGGCCCTGCGGGCGTCTGCGGGCTCCCAGCACACGGCTGTGGGTGTCCGTCCAAGAGCGCCCCTCGCTGCCATGTGCACGTATTAGAACAGGGTGCTCCACGTGCTCGCATTGCACAGCATTCCTCAATTCAGCCGGCACTTACTGAACACCTATTGTGTGCCGGGCACTGTTCTAGGCGCTTGGGCCACATCAGTGAGCAAGCAGGGCAAAGGTCTCAGCCCTCTAGGAGCTCAAGGGGACACATGAAATTAAAAAGCAAATTAATAGTAGGGCTGCCCCAGTGGCCTAGTGCTTAAGTTCATGTGCTCTGCTTTGGCAGCCCAGGGT